TTGGTTTCTCCCAGCAGAAGCCACGAAGGGGTTGACCTTGTTTTGTTTTTGGGTTTCTTTTCCGGCAAGTTGAACGGCGCCACTTCCGGGGATGCTGGATAATGAGCCAATGGGAGCGGTTCCTTGGAGAAAGTGCGCGTTTTGGAGCTACCAAGAAATGACATGGCAAGGGTGGGGGGTGGGGGGGAGGGCAGGTGCGCTCTGATTGCGGTTGGGGGTGGTTTTGGGGAGATATGATCCTGAGGTGGGTTTCGAAATGACATCAAACAGAAGCGCGAAAGGAGCCAAATGCTAGTTGCACGGACTTGTGGGCTCAATTGTCACGTTTCTTTTTGGGGGTGTTCTGTGTCACGATGCTAGCTCTTGGTGAAAACACCCGCGACTGCTTTGGCTGGCGTGTGAGGGATGATGTTAGCGTGCGGTTGTCCATTTGTCCGGCGTGTGCGGGCCAATTTGTGGTTTTGTGGAATCAAAGAAGCAGAGCCCCAAAAGCCAACAGAACCAATGGTCTATGAAAGGTGCGGCAAACGTTGTTGGCACATCCTTGCTGATTTTTTGCTGAACAGATTGTAACCAGTAAAACACAACACTCAAGGTTTTGTTGAACATACTGTAACCAGTAAAAAATGACACCCAAACAATATATGGGTGTTATTTTTAATGCTTGCGTGTCCGGATTGTTCGGACCCCCTCTTTCTGGGGAAGCGGTCTTCGCCCTTCGACCGGCCGGAGGCCCCGCTGCCGCCATAAGCGGACGCCCGAGAGCTCGAACGGAAGGGACAATCCCCTTGCCAAAAATGGCAGCGGATATCCGCCTGCGTGGTTCTTTACATGGTTCTGGGGTGACCTTTTTTAATACCGGGTTTTGGTTGTGGCTCACTTCCGATCCCCCAGTGGTGCCCTTTTTAAACCCTTTTTTGGGGGAGATTCGGTTCCCCTACTAAATGGACTGCAGCAAAATTGGTACCAACTTATTCTATTGTTTGGCAATCTACGCGGGAAGCGAGATTCGCTTTCCCTGCAGTTGTCGGTGTGGATTGGTGGTTTGGTTTGGTGGCTTGGCGGGGGCAAGCACTAGGGGTTTTCCCGTCTTGGACCGTTTTGAAACATGTGCCGACTGGTCACGACTTGCAAAATGCAACTCGCATTTTGGCATTCAGGAGCGTGGGTGCTTCTTCACACTGTCTGGGGTTCTTGCGGCTTCATTGCCGCTCGCCGCTCAAATAGGATCTTCAAAGTGGCGGAAAACATCCCCTGTGCAAACCGCCATGAACACCAAGGGGGGTTAAGAACACCACCAAGATTTGCCTCAGCTTCATCCAAATTTGGTCCACCATTCTTTTAATGCGGGTTGAAATAGCTTGCCGAACCTGGGCTTTCATGGGCAATCCCTCCCCAACTTTGGGAGGACTGATCATCACATTGGTTGTCCAAACCATCTTTTCTGGGTGAATTATAGCGACCTCACACGACCTCACCCCAAATGGTGGCTTATGTGAAAAATATCCCTCCCACCACCTTATTTCAGGTTTGTGAAATTATAATTCACCTAGAGAATCTTTTGTGAGGTTCCCTGTGAACGGCTGAGAGTGCACGTTTTTTTTTTTTAATCAGACATTATTTCAAGTCGCTTTTCCGACGTAGCAACCAAGTCAAGCGCACACCTTTCTTGCTCGACAGGTTTCCGAATTTCTTTGGCAGGCTCCTTGTCTAACCTGGGCGGCTCTTAAAGCCAATGTTATCCCCATGAAAAGTCACAGCACGAATGGACATCCTTCCAATACAGCTTCACTGGCCAAGTTCAAAGGTCCAAAGAGAGGGAGTCTTGTGCGTCCGGTACCCGGAAGCGGTCCGACTTCAAAAGCTGAAGGGTTAGTTTCCATGTTTTTGGGGCAAATTATTCCACATCCTTGGAAGCATAGGGTGTCCTGTTTATGGGGCTGTTTGTGTTAGTCACGTTTAATGTTAGTCATGTTTAAACATAGGTGGCACTGGTTGTATACATTGGGTTTTTTTCCATTCCCATCTATTTTTCCAGAAGGTCACCTATCCTTGGAAGCCTTTGCTACAGCCCAGGTCTCTTGCATGGCGAAGCGTACTGAGGCGTACGCGTCAGTCAGAGGCCTTGCACATGCCTTGGCCTCTTTTTTGCGGTTGCCAATTTGTGCCCTGCGCCCCGACGGCGCCAATTTGCCTTCCATGGGTCACAAGGAAATGGCGAGCTCACCGATTCGGGGGGTGAAACAGGCGAAAGCCATGGTAAAGATCGATTGCTTGGAGATCCCTTTTTTCATGCTCTTCGGAAATATTGGGAAACCATTTAGCCACCAGCTTCCTTCTACTTGGTTTTGTTTTGCTTGGAGGTCAGCTACCCTCTACAAGAACCAGACATCACCCTCCCCCAATTCCAATGCCAGGGGAGTAAAGTTCGCGGATGTGTTAGAGGGGGTGGCCCTGACGGCTAGTAACCTCTGCGCAGTGTCCCCGGACCACGAGGTTGAAGATGAGCTAGCTGATCTTAGAATAAGGCTGCAGCACTAACATTGGGCGTTTGGGAAAACATGAGTTGGGTGTGGCTCGAAATCAAGCAGGAGGGGCAAACCGCAGGTTTTGGTCCATGTTTCCACTTACCAGGGAATTTATTTTGGAATTCCGGTTTTTTGAGCCACAGCCATTTCTTCAACTGCCGCCTGGCGCCGGCAACTGCGTTCGGCAAACCGAGCGCAAAGGCGCAAAGACGAACACGGTGGGCGCCGGAAACATCGGCGCCCCGCTGGGCGAGCACGGCCAGGGTGGATGGTTTCATGGGCGCCTATGCGGAACATGTCACAGGTGGTTTTCTTCTGTATTTGGTGGGTTTCCTGCCAAAATCTGTCCGAAAATGTGCTCCCTTTTTCGCCAGGGGTCTGGAAGTATGGATGGTCACTCACACATAAAGAACTCCGACAGTAGTGCACGGGTTCCCCAGCGAAGCATGACCATGGCACATCATGGGTTGCAAGGAGGTTCACCAGAACCAATGTTAGAACCCAAGCTATGGTCAATGCAACACGTGCGTTTGAAAAAGATGGGTGTTTCCTTAAAGATAGGGGGCCTTTGAACATGACTGTTTGTTTTTGGTTCCCTCTAGCCGCATCCAACATGCGGTGCTTCTGGAAAACCCATAGCTCACCATCGGAGCGCCTCCAAGTGGTTGAAACCATAGTTTGTTGGAAATTACAGGAGAATCATCAGAAACCAGGGTTTCTTAGGTGGTGCAGGATTTTGTCCATCCACAGTACGCTTGACTCTTTCCAGACCTCTAGTGGGGCTTTCTTTTCTTTTTGTGGAGCGGGGTGTCTCTTGAATCTTCAAAAGTCCACCAGGAATGCCAAAGTCTTGGTATGGAAGTCCAGTGGGGGGTCTGGGTCTTTGTCAGAGTACCAAAGGGATGGCTCGCATGTCGCACCAGAGCTAGCCAGCCTGAGACGTCCGCCATGTACAGACTGAGCGTCCAAAAAAGCCACCAGCCCACCAGTGCACCTATGGAGCTGACCCCCGTAGGGCCGGCCATTTCAAGAACTGGGTGAATTATAGCGACCTCACACGACCTCACCCCAAATGGTGGTTTGTGTGAAAAATATCCCTCCCACCACCTTATTTCAGGTTTGTGAAATATTAGAATTCACCTAGACCAATACCTTCTGTTGGAGATAGCGGTCTTGGCGTCTTACCCTTCGCTACTTTTGAAGGCGAACTTTGGAGCAAGCCCTGGAATTTCGGGCACCTTGGGCGCGGTGGCTTTGTGCTCTTGTATGTGTAGGAACGAATGTGGGGGGTCCAAAGCGCAGCCAACTTAAAAGACCATGAAGACCCTCCGAGGACAAAGGTGAGTGACACGTGCTGGAGTATTGAAGTCCAGACAACACCAGACCGACTCAAAAGCGCCCAGTTTTTGCTTCTAGAATGCTGGCATCGAGTAGGGTCATGCCCTTCAACTTCTCTTTGAGACTCGGCATTTCCCAAAAAGAGATTCACTGGAGGTGAGGTTCCCTTCGACTTCAGAAGATGTATGGCTCAAGCCTCAGTTGCCCAAAAGCGAAGGCATGTCTTGCTTTTACAGGCTTCCGATCTGGTTCTTGTTCTCCCTCGGCGGGCATGGGTCTTTGGAACTCGCGCTGGACCACCTCTTCGAACCCCAAAAGCTCCGTTCCGCTTTGGTCCCGAAAGTTTCTCTTGGAACTTCAGCTCTGTTCTCTGCGCCCGGTCGGTCGCATCATCCTTACCAGTTACGCAAAGGGGCCCTTGTGGCTTCCCTTTAGGGATTATGGTTCCCTTTAGGGATTATGGATCCCTTGCCCAGATCGACAAATTTCTGAGAGTTGCATGTGTTTCTTTCAAGCAGCAGGAAAGCAGAAGTCGGGAGGAGCGGAGGCCAGCAATGCCGAAGAGAGTTCCTGGCTAAAGGGCCGAAGGCCTTTTGGTCGCACAACGCCTCAGAGAAGGGATTCTAAAATGCTCACAGGCCGGCAATGGTCGGCGTGACTTCCTGCAACAGTCTGAAGCACAGGGCTACTCACAATCTTTCGGGGAAAAAAGGGAACTCAAAACCCAGGCGAAGGTAGCAAGGGATAGGTGCTGCAGCCGCCCTTTGAATGTTAGTAGGACCCAACTTCAAGGAACTTCTGGTGCTGCTCGGTGAGTGTTTTGTGTGCGAACTAGACCATCAGCTTTGCTTTGCCCAAACAGAAGCCAAAATTATATTTCCTCTCTAAACAGTTCTGACCCTCCCTCCGCCATCGCACGCCGGGTGTTGTTTTCGTGCGTTCTGCCTTGTTGTTGGCCCCCCAAGTGACGATAGGGCATCATGGATCCAAGGACAGCACAAGTTGAAAGCGTTGCACTCCGGTCAACTGCTGCTTGTCAGATTGACAGGTTTTGGGACTTGACATTTGGTTTGGCCTTCTCAGCCCTTTGCCAGCCTCTCGAGGATTGCCGCGCAACCGTGGAATTTGGCTGTTAGGTTTTATGAGGGTAGGCCCCCCCCCGCCTTCCGGGGGGGAGGGGGGAAGTGCGCATTTGCCTTTAAAAGGCCATGCCCCCCCGGCGGCCAGGCGGGAAGAGCGCGGAAGTCAGTGGATGCCTTTTTTGTGGATTTTTGGGGAGGAGTTCCCCTGAAAATCCATGCAACATCCAGGGGAAGAAGGGGGCGTCATGTTGTTTGCAGGCAATACGGGAAATGCAGGTTGGGAGAAATTTGAACCCATGTGTCCGGCCCTGGGGAAAAATGCTTGCTTCTTCATGACAGCTGGATGCTAAATAGCCAACGATTCTATTTTCCGTGATCTCATAAACAAAAAGTTTAACCCAGGGAACGGAGCCAATACATATATATATAATAGATAAATATATATATATATAGTTATATTTATATTTATTTATTGCATATATATATATATTATATTTATATCTGTATATTCCTTGTTGGAAGGATCAGGCATAGGAAATGGGCCCCGTGCGGGATACAGGGCCTTTTTCGGGAGGATCAATCATTGCTGTCCTAGTGCATCCCAGTGACCAGCATACCAACTAACAAGCCATTGTCCATTGGGCGGGGGCATTCTTCAAGGCCGGGGGAGGTACCGCTAGACTCCGACCAAAAAGAGTCAGCAAACAGGAAGCCGGCCATGTTTAAAGAGTCAAACGTGTGCCCTAAACCTCAAGACCACTGAGGTTTTTGGGGGTTTAGTGACCTTTAAACCAAGGGGATTTTGGACTTTAGTCACTTTCGGGCAGGGGGGGGTCTACTGGCAAAAAAGAATGTGGGTACTAGTTTTGGCCAATCCACTCAAGAAGTGAGTCAACATAACCACCACTTATCTAAAGGAGAGAAATATCATCGAAACTGGGTCAACCATTCCTTCAATGGGCTTTGAACCCTCGGGTTTTCCGCCCGAGCCTTACCGCAGTGCGAGTCATAAAGCGCATCTACGTCGCCTCGATGCTTCAGGCGGCAAGTACAAGGGCTTGGTGCACCGCAACAAGACGGATGCAACTGGGCGCAGTTTGGCGAGAGGGGTCCCGGGGTGTGATGAGCGCCAGAAATAAGTTGGGGATGTCAAAGCGAACAGGCGCTCGCAGAGCCGGCTGTTCTGCAAATGAACATCTAACACCCCAGTACCCTTTACGGCCTTTACGGTTGTATGCCGGTGAGGGGCATACCCACAGCCGCGTTTCCTCAAAGTGCACATGGTTGGATTCTTTGTGTCTTCTACGGGGTCTCCCAATTTCTGAACGCCCTCAAATCTGCCACGTTAGGAAAACCACAGGAGAGATCCGACGCCGTCCCGAGAGGGTTTCCATTTTTGGGGGGGAACCCGACCGATTTCCTGTGCAGCAGATGGCCCTGAGCCGTGCAAGCCTTGCAGCCAACTGTTTCGGAGGGGCCCGCCCTTGCGGGGCATTTAAATCATGTTAACACAGGCGCGTAGCGAGCTCACCCAAATCCAAATCGATTCAGGGGTACGAGCGAGCGAAAATCCAATGAGAAGCGGCCCTTTGAACTTGCGGATCCCGACTTTTTAGGCTTTGAAGTTATAAGGCTCGCAGCCATGGGACACGTCAGAAATTTTGGAGCGGGGGTTCGGCTCCAATCAAAATTCCCCTGTGGCCGGAGTTGTCTCCGAGCCGCTCAGATGTGGCCTTGTCCAGGTGACAAGCAGCTTGATCCTAAGAACCCCTGGAAATTGAAAGTTCCGAAGGAAGCTAAATGAGGATACCGGGCCCCTGGAAGTTGGCAAGAGTACCTGCCACCAAGATGCTTCCGAAGCTTTTACTATTTTCCCTCCAAGATTTCAGTTGCCTTTGGGTGGGGGTAGGTGTTTCGGCACAGATTCTACCAAGCTCAGCTGAGATGAAACAAGCTTGGATCCCTTATTTCTGATTCCGGGCTCACAGTAACTTGTTGTTGGCCCCCAGCAGAAGAATCGGCTCATCTCCTCAAGTGGCAGGGGTCCCACTTGGGCGCGTTGTTTTTGTCAGCACCGAGGGAAGTGGCGGGTTGTCCAGTTGGTTTCCCTTTTAAGACCCACAGAAGGGATGGCGAGGCTCCAAAAGGACGAGCCGCCCATTTTGCGGAGGCTTTTTGGGATCCTGAGTCCGGCCTAGGCCGTCCTGGCGGCGGAAGCTGATGCCAGGGCTGGGGCCCAAGGGAAAGCCTAAAGAGGGCGATGGCCTGGCTCCGGACCCGCCCCCAAAATGACAATTAACCCCATTGTCTTGCTGATTACTAGGGAGGGGATTAGAAACCCCAAGAAAAAACTAAAAAAACAACTGTACTGTCCTTTAAGGGAAAGATCGCCCCATCTGCTTGCTGGTTGGATAGGCCAGGAATGAGAAATGGAATGACCCCAAGAAAAGCCATCCCCTATGGTTTCCTTTCAAAAAATCCCCAAACGGTGCATTCCCAAATCCTGGAAGGCCATTCCCTACTTCCAGGTTCGTCAGTTTCATTTGTTTGGACCTCCGAAATTTGTAATTTCAAGTGAGCCCACCCTTAAGATGCAACTTTTGCAAGGGTTCTTCCAGTGATCCTGTTGCGGATGGAGAGCCAAAGGAACCCATCACCAAGGGGAGTTGGTGTAATTTGAGGGAAGCAGCCCAATGTTCCGGTGGAGTTGGCACAGACAAATCCTAGACAGGCCGCGTTTCAACCGCTTCTTGTCAGGAAACCTCAGGCGCAAAAGGTCCAAGCCTTCCCGACTCAACTCCTTTGGCTCCGAAGGGACCGATTCGGGAGAAAAAAGCTGAGGAGCCGGTGATCGATCTCGGGCCACAAATTCTATAGAATGGAATGCTTTGATATGCGGGTGGTGGCAGAAACCCGAGAAGCACCAGGAGATGACACCATGGGAATCAGTCCATAACGGAACTGTTGGTACGGCCAGGAATCAAGATAAAAACCAGCATTTCTGAACGGTGCGAAATGGGCATCCACAGTATGGTTGGACGCGTAACTCTTTTTTTGGTTTTCTTAACATCAACGCCATCAACCATATATATATATAAATACACAAATATATCCGTCCCCAATCGTCCAGGTGCCCAGCCAGAAAACCAGCACCCTTAGCTGCCTTAGCTGGTGGTTTGGATTGGTGGAGATTTTAAACCTCTGGGTCTTGTGGTGGCAACATAGAAACCACCCCCCTAACCGCCAAACCGCCAATGCAAGCAAGCCATCAACTAGAGGGAAGCTAGCCAGCTAGCCGTTTCCACTGGCAAAATCCTTGCTTTTCAGCCTCCAACTGGTGGAAACTTTCAGTTGCTTCAGGGTATATATTTTTGTTCCCCTGCTACTTTTAAAGGGGATCTAGCACTACTGGACATATTTTCTCATTTTATCCAGGGGCCGAAAAAGCAACTGCAGTGGTGGAAAAGGCTGCTTCAAGCGTGGCAGAACGAAGGCCAAAGATAATGCGGCAGTTTGGGGAAAAACTGGATGGCCCCCTGGAGGAACAATAGGTGGACTTTGAAGCGGCAGCAGGGACGGTTCGCTTCGCCCCTTCGCGAGGCGAAGCGGCGGCAAGAAGAGGTGGTGAAAAGGCGGGACAGGGTTCCGAAGGCTTGACTTTGAGCCACGGGGTTGTTTTAAGGGGAGGCCAATGGAAAAATCACTCATTTCCAGGTCACCAAGTTTTCCCAGTTTGACACGTTGGCGCCAGGGCGGCGATAAGGAAGCAGAGGCAGATGATGGCGGCTCGGCGCCGAAAGGCCTCGGATTGGACATCTAGGGACCCCCAAATGGCTTCGGTTTCCCAATTTTATGTCCACCCCAGAAAGGGCACCCTCAAATTAGGCCATAACCCAGAGTGATAGCTGGAGTCATTGGGATTAGCTTCCTTATCCAAATGTCCTTTATAGCTGGGCAAACTGAGATCACTTTCCTCATGATGGGCAAGTTCCTCCCTGAGACCTCACAGGGACGAAGGGCACCCGGCACGAGGTCCATGCCGGAAGATGTGTTCAAACGTACACAATAATTTGGGTGGTTGTCAAACAAAGTAACCCCACAATAAATTGCCTTGGTAAAGGAACAATTGCCTCACACCTGCGGTCCCCGGTTGAATTTTGACCAATCAATGGATGGTTTAGGTGTTTTGGGGGTCTGGCGAAGCTGGGCACCTTCCGAGTTTTGGCTACAGTTACCTTGGCCTTGAAGTACCGTTGGCACGCAGAATTCTAGGGCTACCTTCCCGATTCATTTCCAGGGATCCGAATCTTTGCAGGAAACCATCAAAAACCCAGGGGAAACAGCCGGTTTTTGAAAAGAACGATGGTGTAAAAGAATGGGGAATCACTCCCTAGAACAATGCCGACATGCCCCCTCCAGCAGAGGGTGGCTTGGGGACGTCGGGCCTGGTCGCAGAAGCCATATATACGAGCTTGCATTTGCGGAAGCCACGCATTTTTCAGACCAGTGAGCAACTACCCTCCTGCAGATTAACATGGGACTTGAACACTGCAATTTTTAGAGGGCTCTCATTTTGGGCACCCCCTTTTTTTGTTAATTTGTCGGGGAGTACTACATCAACACACCCCAGTGACACGGCACCCAAAGGTCAAAAAAGAAACAAAGATCCTCAAACAACTTCTGCCCAGTGGCGCCCTTTTTTTCTTTTCTTTTTTTTTGGGAAGGGTCCCCTTTTAAACTGTCATGCTTTGCCCTTCCCCTTTGCGGGATGGCCTGAGTTTTGGCTTCGGCCGGGATGTGGGCTCCACTCACTCCAATTGGGGGGTGGGGTCTTGAGCAATGTGGCGGAACCAGCCAAAAAAAGGATGCCCCTTTTTTCCAGGGGAAATCCACTGAACATCGGAGGGTTGCATGGTGGGTCAGCCTTGTGTTACGGCAAGACTGGCCTGGCCAAGGACCGGGAAGGCTTAGCTGCGGAGATGGATCCCGAAGAGGCACGACAAGACCTCCCTGTCTCCGACTGCCGTTGTTTTTCTTCTTTTGTTCTTCTTCTTTTTTATGAGCTTCCGGTCATTGCAAAAAGGAGAAATAATAAGGAAATCTGTCCAGGACTTTATACCTCTTTAACTTTTTGCCCTGCCTTTTCTTCGTTTACCAGCAGAACCGTTGTCACTTGTCACAGGGGATCTAAGTTTGGCCATTTTGACAAGTTGCACCTCCGTGTCAAAATTGTTCAAGGGAAGAAGCCCTTTTTTGACAGTATCTGGTTGTCAGGATCCCCACCAAGAGGGAGCCCCAAAGAACGGCACTCAAAAGGATCCCTTTCAGCCCCTAATAAGCCTTATTAACTTCTTAGTCGTCAAAAATCGCCCCTATTGGGATTAGGGGTGCAAAATCAGTAAAGATTTGGCCCCTTATACCTTCTAAGCACACGAATCGGTGTAAGGCACTCCTGGGTAAACCGGTCAGAGCACCAGGATTCCAATATCCATTGACCAAAAGGGCCTGCAAAGGGGTACTTCTTGGAACCTTGACGCAAATGGGCATTGATTTTGCTTGGGGCCCCCTTTGGTGGACGTCATGTTGGGCGGGGATTTGCCTCCAACTACTTGAGGTGGTTCTTTCACATCTGACCCATCGGTTCGCTTTTGGCAAGCCTCCATTTGCTTAAGAATATTGTGTTTTTTTGTTATCCCTTGTTGGTTTTGAAGGGGATCTATCACTACTGGAAATATTAGGATTTTTCCTGGGGCCTTAAAACCAAATGGAAGCAAGTGAGAAATGCCTCACGCATCCCTGCAAAGCCCCGGAGGCGAAGAGCTGGATTGCCGCTGCATGATTGGAACCCAGCTGAAACTCGCAGCGGACTGTGAATTTTCAAGCAATCTGTGACCAGTTCTAGGTCCCCCAGCGATTGGTGCCAACTTTTACCGTTTCTTTTTTTGGGGAGATTCGGTTCCCCTACAAAAATAGACTGCAGAAAAAAAAGGGCACCCTTATTCTAACCTCTCAAATCTGGAGGACCTAGTGTTCAAGGACACCCTTTTCCAGGTGGAACTTGAAGGTCTGGAAGAAGCATCCCAAAAAGTTGGTCCCCCTTTTTTAGCTTTCATTTGTTGTTTTCGTGTTCGTGCCTGGTTGCACTTCGGGTGGCCTTGGTTACCTGCAGGGAAATGGAATCACTGGGCAGGCTAAGGACCCTTCCAGAGGGTTCTGATAGGATTCTCATCATCTTTCTGCATGGATCCTGATGTCTTTGAGACCAGTTGGGCTAGGCACAGTTCTGACCATTCCTCCACTTCTTCAATTCCTAAAGAAGAATACAAACTCAACTGGGTGAATGACAACGACCTCACATGACCTCACCCCAAATGGTGGTTTATGTGGGGAATCGGTTCCCCCCCAACCACCTTATTTCATATTGGTGAAATATTATAATTCACCCAGAACTCAACGGCTCAACAACAGAAAGCAGGAACCACGCGCAAGGCTCAAGATCCCAGGGAAACCCAAAACCCAAAAGGCTTTCGACCGCCGACAAGCCCAAAGGCTCTACGTCCCGCTTGCAAGCCGAAGGGAAAAGTAGGATCCGAGTTTCGTGCGTTTTCTTGTTCCACGTGTTTGAAACACCACTCTTAATGGACGAAATCCTGCACCACTTGGAAGCCATGGTTTGTTACCATGGTTTGTTGGCATTTGCGGGGGAATCATAGCATTCGAGGGTTTCTTAGGTGGTGCAAAATGGATTTTGTCCATCCACAGTAGGCACCCCCAGAATTTCCTTCATAGTTCCATCTTCCATTTACGAGGAAGACTTCGACCTTTGGATTTGGGAGCCCTCTTTTACCCTGCTTCAGATGGAGGAGGTTATCTGCCGAAGTGTTTTTGTCTAGGTCCCCTTGTTTGGGGGAGGATTCCCGTACCAAAATAGACCACAGCAAAAAGGGTACCCTTATTCTAACCTCTCTACTGGAGGACCTAGTTGTGTAAGCTGGGGCGTGGCAGGAGAAGAGGCAGAGGATCCTGAATTTGCTCATGGGAGGCGTCACCCGCGCGCGAAGTGGGATGTGTTTTGGGGGCGGCACCGCGCACCGCGCACCGCGCACCGGCGTGCATGATGTTCCACGGAAGCTGCGAGACTCGGGGACTCGGGGACTCGGGGACCCTGAGTACTCATGGACTTGAGCCACTTTTTGGGGTTGGGCCGTTTTAGTGGTGAACAACAAGTTGGGTTTCGGATTTTTTGGGCCATCAACTCAGGAAGTGAGGAAAGGCGGTTAAAAGACAGTTATTCTTCGAAGACTTCCTTGAACTTGCAGGGGCGCACCACACGCGAAGAGGATGCTCAAGGCAATTGCACCAGGATTCCAGGCAACCAGGACAGCAATTGCTGCTTTTGGACCAGCGCCATGCCCAGTAACTGGAGGTTTGTCGGGCCAGGACCCTGCCATGCCGATGAGTTTGTGTAATCTTCCCCCCTAAGAATTGTAATTTGAGGGGGGGGGGTACCCCAGTGAAATTTCATTTTTTGTTGCACTTTTGTGGAGGGGGGGGTTGTGAAACACGGAGGAAAGGTCTCCTGCAGGGACGGGGATTGTTTGTGTCAGGTCGCAAGGGCGACACCATGAAGTTCTTCCACGCCTGGAAGCAGGGGGCAATACAGCAGCGCAAGGAGGGGGGGAGAGGGGCGTAGGCTTCGGAAGACTCAGTAAAGCGAATTGGACCAAAGTTAAACTTTTAGCGGGGGATTTGAGGGTAGTCAAGGTTCCAAAGGTCGACTTTTATTTCCAGGTCGTTTGGGCAACTGGAGAGAACAAGCTCTGAACTTCACCGTGCTTCGGGACCGTCCATTTGGGTTTCCCCACGCAACCTACACATGAATCAAAGATGGTTGTGGTCCATGTTTTTAAGGTAGCCCATGACTCCCGTCAACTGGTCTTTGCAGCAGGGTTGGGCCTACAACCTCTCCCAATCTTTCACCACGTCTTTTCACACTCATTGTTTAATGCACCTTCTTCTCTGTCTTTGGGGGTGGGGGGGTCCCCTCCACCCCCCCCCCCCGTGTTTTTCGTTTTATGTGCGCATTTTCTCCGGCTGGATGACAGCTATGGGTGAATCCGAGCCCGCCTGCATCATGGCACCTGAGAGGCGGTCCTTTCAAGAGGAAATTCATCCAGGTGCCTTTCCACAGTTGGTTCGGCTGAGCCCCAGCTCCTTTCGAACACCGGGAAGGCCCCCCCCACATCCAAACGAAACCACGACTGGGGGGAAGGCGGTTTCAGGATCCTCGGCTTTTGGCTGTTACTCGCGACTTCATCTCGTTTCCCGACTCCCCGGTTTTTTGACTCTAGCTTTTTCCGGCGGAGAACCGCTGGTTGCGAAGCTTGGACACTGCTCGGGTGTACCCTTTTTGGAGTTGGTGCCCTTGGTTTATTTAAGAGTGCAAGAGCTGATGCGCGAAGGGTTGATTGGGGACCCTAGGGTGCCCGCAGGGTTGATTTTCAGTTTTCAAAGTGTTGGCACCCGTAAAGTTGGACAACGTGAGCACCGCCCTTTTCGGGTCGCCTCTTGAGACAAAGCCAAAAAGTCACCGAAGCGTGTCCCTAGGGTTCAGCCTCCATTCAAACAATGGAATTCACGCAGTTTGGATGACAATCCCAAGGATGACCTTCCCTTGCCTATGTTTTTCTTGATTTCCTCCTTTTGGATTCAAGGGAATCTATCACTAGTGAACATTGTTGCTCCCGGGACGAAAAAGTCATGTGGAGGTCACCAACACAAAACCCTAAAACCCTAAAAACCCTAAAAATCCTAAAAATCCTGAAAACCCCAAACCCGGCTAGCACATGGAGGTCACCCTTTTTCACCCCCCAAAAACAAAAGGCCGCGGGCGGAGCACCGTGCAGCACGACCTCCCGCGTCGCGTCGAACAAACAACAGCTCAGGAGGTGAAGATCCACGAGCGGGAGCTGGGCTGGCGCCGGAACTGCGACGGCATGGCCCGCAGCCCAGCGGCTTTCTCGTTTTTTCCGCCGCGGGGAGCGGAAGGGACTCCACAGGTGTCACTTTTTTTTGGGTTGGTTGGCTTAACAAAACAAGGGCCCTGGTTTAGATGGGGTTTGTTTGCAAGGGCCATCTATTTCCAAAAGGCCATCTATGGAAGAGAGCGCGCTCTTAATTTTTAGGCCAAGAAAAGTCCGGGCAAGTGCCAAACTTGAAATCTGACTTGGTGAAACTCCAACTCCGTAGCTTTAAGCAGCTAAAATTTAAACTTTCAGCAGGATCAGTTTGGACAAGATGGCAGCTTTGAGCTTCCAATTTTGGCCTATGAGCTATCTTCTCTGCCCATGGCAGCTGAAAGCTATGGAAGTTCAATTCCTGAGTGGGTGGCCCCACTCCATCTTCCCAAAAGTCCAGAAACTGGAGAAGAGAGGGAATGCAAGTCAAGTCAAACTAATGGCCTGGTTGCCACACTTTTCAGCGTTCAATCTGTCGACGCTAAGAGTTGCCTTTCTGGGCAGGGCCCCCCCTTTTGGTTTTAATTTCAGTGTGCAGTCTGCCTTGGGCTGTCCCAACTGGACCCTTAGGGAAGACCTATGAACTTTAACGCAGATCTAAGCCCGAAGCGTGCATGGCTTCCGATCTTTTGCACAGGGAGTTGTTTTTTTGATATTTCAAGGGCAGAAACCGGAACCCTGGCCTTTCCAGTCAAAGGCGTCAGGGAACCTGGCAACGTATCGAGGGAATGCCCACAGATTTGGCCCGATTGTCCATTTGCTTTAGTATATGCTTTATTTCCCCTGGTTTTAAAGGGCACTGGAAAAATGTTCTCTCATTTTTTCCACTGGACGTGACGAAACAGCAAATGGCAGGTGAGGGTTTCTTCCACGACGTTTCCATCTTTTTTGGGTAGGTATGAAGCATCTGAAATACACAAAGTATATACATGTGTACCCCTGCTTTCAGGCGAACGAAGCCGACCCTGATTTATATTTCCAAGACTTTTCGATTTACTCCAGGGCATCCAAATCTAGCTCCCCCCAGTAGTGCCCTTTCACCGTTTCTTTCTTGGGGGAGGGTTCCCCTACCAAAATAGACGTCCGATTTGTTTTTTGGTACTAACATAGTCTAACCTCTCTACTGGAGGACCTAGACATGATGTCATTGGCTTCCGGCTATGGAACCCCCAAGGGGTGGTCAGTGCTTCACATGTGTCTCAAAAGGGTATGGTACCTCGATGGCAACTGTTTCCTCTTCTTTGGCGCATTTTGCTTGGATGTTAGGACTTGAACTTTTTGCCCAACTTAATGGTTTTCCAGTAGACCACTCAAAGTTAAGCTTTTAGCAGGGGAGCAGACAGCAACCGTGGTTTCCAGTTCAACAAAAACAATACACAGCAAGAAGGGGGAGGGCACCAGCACCCGCAGAACGCCCCCCCCTTTCCTCCCGCCCAATAAAGTCTTTTCGGGTGGTTGGGATCCACTCAACAACGACCCGTTGAACCAGAACCCAGAAGGTTCCTTCTGAACCATTCCTGGGTTAGGGGCTGAAACAGTACCAAAATGGTTGCTTTATGATCATGACTTAATTCATGGGCCCCTCCATTTCCCATTTTTGGACCGCCCAAAGTGACAGTTTTAGAGGAGCCCAACTATTGCCACCTTTAAGGGGGAAATCCAGTGACCCCTGCAACTGGTTTTATGATTTATCAGATCGTACCGATTTAGTTTCCAGGTTTTCTGGGGCATGTGCTGCCAGCATAGCTCGCAGACGTCACCTCCGCCAAAAACCCAAGGCAGGGTGCTTGGGACCCCCAATGCCGGGCCCATGCGGCCACCCCGAAACAGCTGGCGCACGCCTGAGGACCCCACCTTTCCCAAGAACTGCAACGCCCTACGGAGGCGCGCGGCTCTGGGGGGCTCGCCGCATTTCTCTCGGCTCCTCTGAAAACCACCCGAATTTGATTCAAGGGCCTGCGTTGGAAGGCACCACACAGGGACAACTCCACGCCATGTTAGGCTCCGTTCGTACAGATGGTTACATACCATGGGACCTATTTATGAGCCCCTGCGAGTGGCTTCTGGGCCGGAGAGTTGCTTCCGTCCCAGTGGAAAAGCTGGTCATTTCAACTCTACAATCTTAGAGACCTTTAAATGGCAGCTTCATCTTCCATTTGGTTAAGAATATGTTTTTCCACTGTTGATTTTAAAGGGAAACTATCACCACTGGAAATATATTTATTTTCCCGAGGGACATAAGCAAATGGCAGCTTCATGCTGGTTTCAACAGCCCCGCGTGATTTCATTTCGCTTCCTGAGTTAGTGCACTTGTTTATACTTTTTGGGTGGACCAAAATTCCACTGCACGCGATCGGAAGTGAGTCACTTTGTTGGTGGGTCTTAATCAACTTTTAGGCCCCTAGCTGAGTTTCCGGCCCAGGGCACCCCATTCAACTCCAACCTGCTAGAGGGTCCTTGGGCTTTAGGGAAACAACCCCCCCCAAAGCCCCACACCTAGATCGGGCTAGCTTGCCTTCTCAACTCTTTCCCTGGGGGTGTTCCATGTTTCCCGATGATCATTGATCATTTGTTTTTTTGTTTTTTAAATCTCTGGCAGCACTTGGCCCCTGCTCTTTTCTTTGGGGGGGGTACCATTTTACGATTAGTTTCAAGGGAAGCTGAAAGGACAACTACTTTTTTTGGGCACCCTATTTTGAGACACACCCATTTGGCTTGGTCTTCTTTCACACTAAAATGATGAAGCTTTTGTCAAGCTCGATGCTTCTTGGCTGCTGGAACTGCTTTCCAGGACTACCCTCATTGATTCATTGATTTCCAGGGTCATTGTGTCAGACACCATTTTTGTCAAGGTTCCATAAGGCTGACCTTCTTTTTTGTCCGGGTCCCTGGACCAACTGAGTTCTTTCCTGCCTGCAAATAGGCGCCAAAAGGTTAGCCTCTTATGTCTGGGTCCTTTGACCAATTGAGTTCTTTCCCGAATAGCAGGGGGGAAACAAGCATCAAATTTGAGAAGCGCCTCCTTTGGGAGGCGGCCCCTTGGCTCCATGGGAGTTACATTTGAGCCCATCGCGCTCCTCCCCAAAAACAACTTGGGTATGCCCGAGCAAGCCGAGGCGTCTGTGTTGTGCGTTCCCCAGATTTTTATTTGCAAGTTTACCTCTTTGGCGCGAGGTTTTCCGGGGAAAGCTTGGGTTGGTTTGGAGCTTGAAGGATGGATGGTGTCCTCTGGTATCCCTTATAGCCTTTGACCCCAAGGAGGGTAGCCTCATTTTTTTTTTACACCAGCCACGTGCCGGAAAACCCGCAGTTTCCCTTTTTTGGTACCTGGAGAAGTGGCCCCATCCCTGGCCCAAGCCGGTTCGCCCCTGGGGCTTGAAAGGCGTCACCCTCTCAGCTTGCAGGGTGCTCTCCAGCGACATCACCTTGCCGCTGAACAACTTCCTGGCGCTGCCATCAGGCCTGCTGCACACCCAAAAAAAAGAAAAAGGTGGCTCCACGCCAACAACTTTCAAAGACATCAAGTGGAGGGAGGTTGCAGTGGTGAGGCCCGCCTTGGGGATCTGTTGTGCGTTTTGTCTGTTTTGAGGGGGACGTCCTTGAGATGGCTTCGGGAAAGCCCACTGGAAAACTCCATTTCAAGACACGCCCAATTGCAGCACGTGGACCCCCCAAAATGGGTAGTTTCCTTTTGCTTTTGGTTGTGAAAGGGAAGCCCCCACAGAGGGGTACCAGAGCCACAAACATGGCCCCCTTCCTTTCTTTGGGGTTATTAGAGGAACCTGGTCCGACAGGCGCTGGACGCGAGGCTTCGACGGACTGGACTCCTGTTGAAGGATGGCCTAGATAGCCAAGTTGCCACTTTTTTCAGTCACTGTTGCTGGTTTTTGGAAAAGTGCATGGAAAAAAGAAGCAACTGGCGATCCAGGGGGTCCGATTTTGAGCAATTCAAGCACAACGTCGGGTGCTGAATCGGCATCCGTGACACGCGGCTAAAGGGAGGAGGCGTTGCCAAGGCTCACTTGAGACTTTGCCGATTCGCAAATCGGCCATGGTTTTGAGGGTTTTGAGCATAGGTCTCTTTTTGGTTGTTTTGGTCGAAAAATGGATGGCCCTGATTTACCTGGTGGTTTATTCATCTACCAGGGCCATCTATTTGCCCCAAAAGGACACCTATGGTTTTGAGGATTTCCCTTCACCGGACGCAAGAGCAACGGACACAGTATATCCTGATGGCCGCCTCAGTTTTTGCCATAGACATGGAGCCCCGGCATCCCCAGCAACCGGGACCCTTCAACCCGAAAACGCGGATCTGACCTGCGGAACCTTATCACACCACCCCCTTAATCCTCGTGGGGGGGCGGCAAAAAAAACAAGTTACATGTTTGGGTCTCAATTTCCACAGTTTTCGGGCCCGGGAGGGGAGCAAATCGTCGTTTTCCTTGTGGGTTGCCAGAAAAAACAACTCACCAGAAAGAGGTTCACCGCCGTAAGAAAGACACACCCTGTCGAATCGTTGCCTGTAAACGATTTGGATCCCAAATGATTGGCCGCCTCTTGGTGTGCTTTTCAGGGACTCACGCGATGAGCAGAGAATGGCACTAGAAATATTGCCGATACATTAGTACATGAGACATAAGACTCCACCATAACTTGTAAACGAGTGTTCAACCACAAACTCGAGCATTTCCGGACCCCCCCCTTGCCGTAGACACTTGAGTCTATTTTGCAGCCAACCCGGAAAAAACAAGGAAGAAACAAAAATCAACACAAGCAATACCCTAAATGAAGGAGGTTGCAAAATAGACCTGCATTTGTGTCCATCATGCCCCCCTCCTTACCCCCCCCTTGCCATTCCCGTGTGAAGGCCACCCCTTGCTTCCATGAGGCTAAGGTCGTCTTACGCCTCGCCTGGCCAAGGCGAAGCAGAGGAGTTCCGCGCCTCCCGCGGGCCGGATCCTCCGAATTCGGCCGGAGAGGGTTTGGGGGAGGCTTCCTTTTTTCTTGGTGGCTCCTTTTGGCTTTTTAGGCCTTTAGGGTTGAGTGGTAGCTTCCATTTAACCCACTAAAAGTTAAACTTTTAGCAGGGGATCTGAGGGCAGCCCAGTTTTTTGGTCGGCTTGGCGATTCGGAAACCGCCGTCCGGTGCCGTAGGTTTCGAGGTGTTTGGTGTTTTTTTTGTTTTTCTCCCCCTGAAATTAACCCAAGAAAAGGGAACCCAGGGAAAAGCTTTGAGCAGAAGATCTAAGGACATCGCAGAAAGGCAACCCATACTCGGTGGCTATAGTGTTTTTTTACCGGATGCTTCTTGAGGGTAAACCCGATCGGGCTATCCACCAAGAAGGAAGCTGAGTTTTTGTGTAAGAACCTCCGGTTCTTGTAGAGAGTGAGAAAAAAACACCCCGCAACCTCTAGACTCTAAACCACCGAAGCTGATTTGCCTTGAACGACTAAACCACAGATGCCCTTTCAATTCCACTTGAGGCCTGGGCGCTTTCTATTGAACCGCTCGGTTCTTAAAAGTCCGAAATTTGCTTAGCGGGTCCCAGAAAGAGTTTATATAAAGTCTTTTTACTTCTGAGGGACCCGCCTGTTTAGTCAATCCGACAGGTCCATGAACGCATGTGTTTTCCAGACGCTGCCCAGAATAGATGCCATATGGTATGCATGCTCTCCGCTGATGTTGCTTGTTCGGTCAATTTGATGGTGTCTGCTGTTTGTGGCGAATCGAAACGATTCGCCAAACAATTTCATTCAGCCCAGTGGTGCGTACTTCTTTGTTGACTTGGTTAACATCGACACGGGGGGGGGGAGACACGTGGTTGGAAGCATAGGCTTTCCAACCTTTGCATGAAGCACGAGTCATCCTGAACACTGGCTGGGCTATTCGCACACAGTCCAGGGGCTGCTCAGATTCCGTAGGAGTGTGACAAATGGACTTTGCATTCTTAGCTCACGGCAAGCATGCTTCAACGGAGCATGGTCTAGGCTTGAACTGTTTGCAAGCATGGTTCCGAAATGAAGGCTTGTTTTCCTTCTTGTGCACCATGCTTGAGACGACAGGTGCACCCACCAGTTGATCTTTGCCGTCGGACCACAGGAAGTTTTTTTTTTGGGGGGGGGGATCCCGTATTTTGAAACTAGTCGGAGGTTGCAACACGCTCAATCTCACCAAGGCGCGACTACCCCATGGGTTGGACGGGCATGTCGGACAAGCTGAGGCGACTGCCTCAGCGCAAAGAGGCTTTCGCATCCGACGCGCCCCTTCAAACTATTTCCACTTGGGTGTTCGGCCGAGTTAGCAAGTGGTTAGCCACCTGGGTTATAACCCACAAATAACTGGGTTAAAACCACTAGAAGTGGGTTATAACTTGGCCGAACACCCAAGCAGGTGTAAACAGAAGGTCTGGCAAGACTCCCCTGTTGGTTCCTTTTTGGAATCCGACTCGTCCAAAGCCAAGCTTTTGAACTGTCATGTGTTGCCTTCGTTGAGTGGCTCTCGTAGATAAGACATTTCTTTAGCGCTGAGATTTGAGCAGCAGGAATTCATGGTCAAAAGGTGGGTGCCGGACGGGCCGCTGGTGCAGGGCTTTGTGCACAGGGCAACATTCGGACCCATGACCCATCCATGACCCAGGAAAGATGATCAGAGCTGTGATCAGAACCCCTTATGGGAGGCCTACCCTTCCGCCCTTTTCACATGGAACCGTTCGACGTTCGGGTCTTGGTTTGGATCATTTTCCTTGTGCAGGGACCATTTCCCGAACGTGCATGTGAAAGGAAAGGGTGGGGGGCGGGGTTACCTTGGAAAAGCCTCCCCCCAAAACCTCATTGGCCATTCTAGGCCTTATGATTGTGATCGTACGGCCTACATACCTTGAAACCATTTGGGCCATGTCAAAATCCCGTACCCCCAGAGAACATCCCAATCCCCACTAAAATAGGTTCTAAAATGGGTGGTGAATTTCACCTACCCCAATCTGGGATCCCAAAACGGTTTTGACCCGCAGCCATGGCCCGCCTTTGAGCTTTTGAGCTTTTAGTGGTTTCCATTTAACCCACTAAAAGGGTTAACCACTAAAAACCGTTAACTTTTTAGTGGTTTCCATTTAGCCCAGATTCCATTTAACTTTTTAAATGTTATACTTTTAGAAGGGGATCTGAGGACAGCCCAGTAAAGTCAATGGGTCCGAGAAGGAGCCTCGTCCGCCCGAGGCGCCAGCAGACGAACCAAGTCATGGGCTTTCTGCCGCTGATCAACACCAAGGCATCCTCCGAAAACCGGGGGTTTGGACGCGGCTTTTTTTAAGTAGGGGCGAGCCAGGAGAGCATCCTGGCACAACAAGATGCGGCTGGGATGCCGCCCTGTTCTTCCCCTTGTGTGTCCTTTGGATATTTTTTTGGTAGTGAACCATCATTTTCTTGCGCCCCCCCCCGTTATTTTTTTGACCCCCCTTCCCTTTTTGTTGTCCCCCCCTTCCCCCCCCTTCCCTTTTTCTTGACCCCCCTTCCCTTTCTCTTCCCCCCCTCCCCTTTTAGTAGTCCCTTCCTATCCTACAGGGGTAGGTCCAGAAAGGCTGCATCCATACCCTTTCCTGCGGAGAGCAAAGCTGGATGGGACTTTGAACCATCCGACGGCCAAAAGCCACGGCCAAAACCCACAGTGACCATGTCATGGGTATGCCTTTGCCGGTACTTTGTCTTCTCACGTCTCGAGTTTCTGGACTTGATACTTTTTGGGCTTGGACCGTGTTGGTGGTAAACAAGAGGCTCAGATTTTTTTGTTGGCCAATCTACTCAGGAAGTGAGTTTTTTTTGGGTTGGTTCACAGGGAATCGAAGCGAACAACGCTATTATTTTTGCACGGGGCTGGAGGTGTCCTACTTTGACACACTCATGCACCCAGATTTCGCCAGTTTCATGGCGACGCCCGGAGGAACAAGCGCAAACCATGATCAGGGTCCTTGAATAGGGGGATTTTGGGAGTGTAAGACTGTAAGACATGCAGATTTGTTGACATGTTTGGACGCAAGGATTTTGTGTTCAAGGGAGACAAAAGGGAATGCAATGGAGGAGGGGGGCGTGTCACGGGCATGGCATGGGAATGGTACAGCTTGACGGGGGGGAGGCGGGGTGCTTCTCAGAAAATTTTGCCCAGGCTGGTTGCGTTTTGGCGTTGCGCAGAAACCAATCAACGTACGCGATCCAGACAGGGGTGTCGATCTCAAGACAGGGCGGCATCTCGTTCTCGTCTTGTTTTTGTTGTTGCTTGTCCATGTTTAACGCAATACTGTTGACGAACGGAAGCAGCCACTTCACACGTCATAGGCTTTAGCTCAGCCCGTTCGCGCAACCTTCCAGCTAACTTTCAGAGCGTTCTGGTTGGCTGCCCCATGAGTAAGAACCTGGGCCTAGTCGGATTTCAGATGTCGTTGCTCAGATGCATCCATCTTGGGGTAGTATTCCCCCAATGTGCCCCTGCACATGGTTTCTGCTCATGGCATCCAACCGTGACACTAGTTGCGGGGCTGTGCCCCACATAGAAGGTGCTCTACTCAAAACATGAGGTCTGAAATCGCAGGTGGCAGCAGCCCCAAGAGGGCATGCACCCCGTCAACTCTGTTTCCACTTCCCCTCATTGCGCCGGGGCTTGCGGCGGCCCAAGCCCCGGGAAACCAATGCGAAAAAAACAAAAAAAGAAGGTCAAGATGCAATGCTGCAACAAGGTTCTTGAGCCTAGCATGTGAAATGCTGGATTTCAGTGCGGCCTGATGAGTCGGAGTCAACTGTACCTTTAGCATGGCCTTTCTTGATGGATGGAGCTCAGATGTTGGGTCTCGCTTGCCAGCCCTCCTTTGAAGACTCAGACTGGACTGTCCCAAATGTCACTTACGCGGAGCGCTTCATGCCTTTGTCTCGTACGTTCTGAGAGCCATTGCCAAAGTGGCGCCAGCGATGTGCTGAGTGACCCAGCGAAGCTGCCAATCTTGAAGAGAAACGATGGGGCAAAGGTCCTTACCTTCGCCCCCTCATCGCGGGGGTTGTTCTTGACTCGACACGTCCTGAAGTGTGCTCACTTTTGAGAACGCGACGTCCGTGAGCCCGTGAGGATCGTGTTGGTGAAGTGCCTACTTCGCCGATCCGATTTTCAACGAGTTGCCCTTGGACAGAACTTGACAAACCTTGGAGGCTGCCAATCTTGAAGAGACACGTCGGCGATGATGGGGCAAAGGTTTCTTGGCTTCTTCCTCTCATCGCCGATGTGCTTCTTGACGGGTCCGGCAGTGTGTGTGTCAAGAAGTGCTCTTGCCTGAAACGCCCGCTGACTCACAATTGCCATGTACAGCTCATTTTTGAGAACGCGACGTCCGTGAGCCCGCGAGGATCGTGTTGGTGAAGTGCCTACATCGCCGATCCGATGTTCAATGAGTTTCCCTTGGACAGAACTTGACAACACCTCTGAAGCTGCCCATCTCTACGGCAGACGTCGGTGATGATGATGCTGCGAATTCCATTGCAACAACATTCCCTTTTTTTGTTTTTGAAGGTGTGCGTCAAGAAGTGGTGCCGCTGGAAATCAGTCTTGCTTCGTCATGTTCCAGGGCATGATCTCCTGGCACCTGGTGGTTCCAACCCTTGAAGCTCATGGGGGGCGCAAAACCCCCCCGGGCACTCGTGCCCCTTTGAAGGGCCCCCTCGCGCGGGCCCCTTGTCACTTGCTACACCGCGGCAAAGGATCGAGTCACGGCCAGATCGGGTGCCTTTGAAATCGAATCCACCTTGTTCAAACAGCACCGACCGCTCCAAGGGACGAAACTTAGCTGAACGCAACAATGTGTAAAGGCCTAAAACCTGCAACATTGGTTGCCTGATTTCATGCTTTGCTTTTGGATGGGGTGTACCGTTTTCAAGTGAGCCGCGATCAAGAACCATGTTGAGCAGCTTAGTCTTGGGGTGCCAAGATCGGATCTCGCAGAAGGAATGGCTGCGTGAGTGTTGCAACTGACATGCTGTCTTGAACTAGTTACTAAGAGCTTTTCGCATGATCGACTGCAGCTTGTCATATATGTGTTGCTTGCATAGTGCCATTCACGCATTGTTGGTGGCTGCATTGGTTTCTTCAAGATAAGCTAAAACCCACAGCGAGAATGCTCGGAAGCCGCGTCAGCAAACAACTGTGTCACAGAAGCCTGCGAACGCCGGCTTCAAGCCCCACATCAATATTTTTTTCGGGGTGACCTTTGTTTTTCTTGAGTACCCTTTCAACAGGAAAACCGCCATCTTGGAGGGGCCCCCGAAAAAAGGACACGCCCAAATGCTTTGTTTGGAACCCTTTTGACAGTCACACCCATGTTGGCTATTGGGGTCTTGCTGCCTTCGCAGACTTGCAGGCTGCCGCCCCCAAACGGATCGTCAGCCAAGCCGCCGCAGAGGAGAGTGAGCCGGATCGCTGGTTCGGCGCCTTGGCTCGCAATTTCTTTTGGCTCGGATTTCTCTTTCTTAAAGTGACTTCTCCAGAGTTCGGTCCAAGAGATGATAGATTTTAACGAGAATGCAAAAGGGCGTTGCCTTGACGTGTTGGGGGGGCCAAGGTGTGGTCGTGCTCGAGTTGTGTTGCCGCATCAGTACCGAGTCCTGGTTGGCCACAACTCAGTTGTTCAGTGGCACCCTTTTTCCCCTAGTTTTTTAGTGGCTGCCCCACTGCAAATGGTCTTCCCCAAAAAGGGTTCCCTTTTTTCCAGGGTCACTGAACAACTGAGACAATGATCGGATCAACCTCAGGGAAGCTGGATGTTGCCAGAACTTGTGTGCTTCATCCTTTGTTCAAAAAAAGAAGAGGTTTCGACACCTTGGGGTCGCCCACCCCTCCGAAACACATCCTTGTGCAACAAGGCAGGTGCCTTTGGGGCCAGCGGTGAGAAGCCATGGGAGTTTTGCTTGGGGAGGGGGTGAATTGCGTGTAGGACCCCTAGTGGCAGACGATTGCCCTAGTGGCAGCTTGGTTCCCAGCCATCAATCCGGTTCTTTAGGCTCCTGGTGGTGTTTTTAGTTGGTCGAGTGGTTGGGTGGCCATTTGGAACCCACGAAAAGTTAGCCGATCTGAGGACAGCCCAGTGAAAGTGAACCCACTAGCAGTTATTCACTTCTAGCCGCCGATCTGAGCCCAGTGAAAGTGGAAATGGGGGGTCCCGGCACGCAGAGAAGGGGCCAAAAGGGAGGCAGCCCTTGGGTTGAACTGCAACCGATGCAGTGAGAAGCTTCACCCCGCATTGAGCCACCGCTCAGAACCAGCGGCAACCAGCGGTTTCCGCATTCCGGAAATGTTGTATCAACCCGTGGCATGCCTTCCCTTGAATCGGGTGTTTGGAGCCTGGAGCCCGGCTTGGTGTCCACAAGAACCCATTGGCTTAAGAAGAGTTTTCTATTTCCCCCTGTCGGTTTAAAGGGACTCGATTTCACGGGACATATCTGCTCATTTGTTTCTCACGGGACCAAAGCGTGCAAAGGGAAGACGAGGACCCGGTCCCAAAGCCGGGCTCCACCCAGCTTGAGGCCCGAAGGCAGACATCCAGCTACTCGGGTTGCAAGCTGGGTCCATTCCCCTCTGGGTGACGGGTGTTGTCGTGTTTTTTTTCTGTCGCTTTCCCTAATCCGCCAGCAAAAAAGTTACCCTCACCTCCATTTGCTGAAATGAATATGGTTTATTTTCCCTTGTTGGTCTTAAAAGGAATGCATCACTACTGGAAAATACTGGAAACATGTTTTTTTTCTTCTCCTTCCTGGGGCCTTAACCGAATGGAAGTTCCCCTCCTTTGGACTAAACAGGGTGCGCTTGTATTGGTTCACCCATGGCCACGGGAGGTAGGTTGTTGTGTTCTTTTATTTTTGTGTTTTTTGGAGGGGGGGGGCTGTGCCATTTTGTTTTGTCCCGGAGGTTTGAGCTTGGAGGGTCCTGTTTGCTTCACCCATTGAAACCTTGACCTAAAAGCGCCCATGGTTTCCACCTCTGGTTCGATCGGCAGGGAATGAGACACGGAATGAGCACAAGAAAAAACATCCAAGCTATTCCCACAACCCGGAAGGTCCTTCCCTGCCTATCGCACCAGCAAGTTTTCCACTGCAGGTTTGGGGAAAGAAGGGCATCAAGGAGCAAAGGCCAAAGTTCGCAGATCCTCGATGAGGTGTGTGTGTGTGTGTGTGTTTGAAGATAGTTTCTCTATGGTTTTCTTTTCGCGTAGTTTAACAGAACATGTTCAGCATAATGGCAGACCATTCATTATTGGGGCTCCAGAATTCGTTTGCACACCCTGCGTCAATGCACAGTCATTCTCTCTGCCATCCGGGAGAGCTTCAGCTTGGACCCCGTTGACGGCCTGTTTCTCATAAGCCATGGTAAGATAAGGTTTCAGACCAGGGCTTCATGGGTTCATGCATTCAGCCTTGACAGTGCGCAAGGCCTTGTGCAGGACGAAACGGTTTTTTGCCCAAAAAGATCGCCCTTTGAGGATCCGGTGAAGCTGATCTGTTTTCGGTTTCTGGCTGGGTTTTTGGGCGGGCAAATATCAGCAGGTTGGTTTCTGCGACGACAAGGCATTCCATTTCCTTAGGACGCGTTGTTTGATTATGTTTGATTCAAACTAGTTTGTCCTTTTCTGGTTTGAAAAGGGGGCCGATTTCACCACTGGGCATATGTTAAAAATAAAAATGCCAGGGGTCTTTCCATGCGGCCTGGGTTAGGTCGGCTTCAGGCCTGCAGATGCCAGCCCCAGATTCGAGTTTCCATAGAGCGTGTTCCTTTTCGTTGAGGGTACCCCACCGTTTTGTGGGATAGTCAAGGGAAGCCCAAAACCAAATGTTTGGGGGCTGCTTGTTTGCTGTTGTTGTTCTGTTGGGCTTCCTTTCGTTTCCCTTAGTCTGGCCAAGCTACTTGGACTTCCATTTGCTCAATATGTTTTTATGATCCCCCGGTTTTTAATCTGACTCTGTTACTTCTGGACTGGAAAGATGTGGGACGGACCAAAGCTGAAGCGAGGACCGTGGCACATGCCAAGACCGGGGAGCTCTATTACCTGGAGCCGAGGGTGAGGGGAGGGAGGATTTACGGTAGCCCACAGGAAAACTGTGGACCATGCTAGGGAAATGGAATTGGACCTTGAGCCCACTTCCAAAACCCCCTTAATGCAGGGGGGACGGAAATGGAGTCCAGTCAGCTTCGGGTGGCTGCAATGGCTATGCGGGGCTGCTTGGTTTTTTTTGTCACGATTTTTTTGGTGGGGGGGGGAGAAAGCAACAGTAAGCCGCTCGTTTTTGGGGTTCAGCACGTTTACTAGAATCACCAGAATGGTGGATTATTTCTTGGTTTGCTTTTGCATCAACCTGTAAAAGGTGCACACATCCAATTATTGTGGCGGGTTAATAAGCACCTGGTTGATTAACAGATACTCGAGATGAATGAAGTTGACATCATGTTAATCCTTTGCCCCTTCTGAGCCATCCAGAAACATGCAGGCAGCAAGCATCAGCAAGCTACACCGCATGAGTTGGAGGGATAGTGCTACCAAACAATGACTCACTAAAAAGTCTAAATTGTGCTTTTGTGGTGTTGCGAAACTGTAGCAGCATTGAATACCTTCCATTTGGTTAAGAATAGTTATATTTTCCCCTGTTGGATTTAAAGGGAATCTATCACGGATAGAAATAAATTGGTTTTTTCCAGGGGACTTCTCAGCAAATGGAGGATACTGAACTGCATCCAACTGGAAGTAGTTTCCTGGCCGAGCCTTTGCTCGACGGGGCTGCAAGAGCTGGCAACCGGACACTCCAAACGTGGAACCTTCACAAGCAACCAGTTTCCAGAAAGAAATCCCAACAGGACCCAACAGGGGGGAAGTTGAAGTCTCACTCCCGATGGAGTTCCGAAACTCGAACTGAAGGTCAATTGTTTAAGGGCTTAATGACCATTTTAGTGGTAAAACAAAACAGGTTTCAGTACCTGTTTTTTTCTCTTCCCAAATTCCCTCAGGAAGTGAGTTGTGCAGGGAACCGTTTTTTTGTTAATTTACACCAGCCGTGTTTGCTTTCAAATTCCTCATTTTTGGATTCTGATTTTGGTGTTTTGTTGAAGGACGAAGCGGGCCAGCAAGTGAGTGAGCGACTGGCGATTCCAAAGCAACAACCACCTCGATCCCGGTGTTTTCTTTGAAATCACGCCTGGGGGGTCCTGTTCTTTTTTTGATCGGCTCCAGTCCTTTTCTTTTTGGAATCACTTAGTGCGAAATCACGCCTTGGGGGTCCAGGTGTTTTGTTTTTGACTTCACGCCTGTGGTCCCGGGTGTTGTTCTTTGGAATTCAAACCTGGGGGCCCTAGTGCGTTCTGTTTTACATATATTTTTAAAGTGGCTGCACTGCTGTCAAGGTGGTGCCATGCACAGTTGCGCTTATTGAGTTGGAGTTGAATCTGGCAGGCGTAATTACTCGGCAGTTCCTGGCAAAGCCATGCTTGTGTATGAAGACCTCACAGTAATCCACACAGGTTGTAAAGAACTTTGGGAGTTTTAACAGCTCACCGGTGAAATCGGTTATTACGTTTCTGTGCGCCGAGGTTGTTTGACTGATTTGCAGATTAGAAATGGGGTTGCCGCTTCCCTTCTGCCCCTAGGTTTCGTTGCTTGCCTTGCCTTGCCTTGCCTTGCCTCGCCTTGCCTTGCCTTGCCTTGCCTTGCCTTGCCTTGCCTTGCCTTGCCTTGCCTTGCCTTGCCTTGCCTTGCTTGCTTGTCTTGCTTGCTTGTCTTGCTTGTCTTGCTTGCTTGCTTGCTTGCTTGCTTGCTTGCTTGCTTGCTTGTCTTGCTTGCGCGCCTGCCTGGTTGCCTGGTTGGTCTGTTGCTCGGTCGGTCGGTCGGTTGGGCAGTCGGTCGGTTGGGCGGTCAGTCGGTCGCTTGGTTGGTTGGTTGCCTCGTTGGTTGCCGGGTTGCCTCGCCCATGGCGCCATCTGATCCATGGGCGGGTCTTGCTGAGCGTCTCTGTCACAAGCTGTGCATGCCGAAACGTTCGCCCTCTTAGTGCTTCTTCCATGTGGTTAAGACCCCTGGAAAAATGAAAATATATCCAGTAGTGATAAATTCCCCTTTAAAACCAACAGGGAACAATCTTAAGCAAATGGAAGGCTTTCGGTACACAGAAAGTTTCGGACCTTTTGGGCAAATGCAGCTTAGCTTCACACGCCGTCGGGCACTTTGAGCCTTGAGCTCCTCGGAGAAGCTCGGAATCAGGACACCATGACCATGCGCATGCGGCAATGCCCGGCCGACAAGCAGCTGCAGCCGCCTGGTTGATACGCACCAAAAAAAATCCACCATCATTGGGTTTAAGTCCACCTTGGTGGTCAAAATTCGAACCCTGAACATGTCCGGTTCATTTTGCTGGTTCGAAAAGCAGGGAATGAGAAGTGGAATTGACTTTAGAAAATCCCTCCAACTGCTGGTTTCCTTTATTCGGGAATATGCTAACTTGGGAAGAACATTGGGGGCTCACGGAGTGAAAATCATTCACAACAAAAGCCCAAAGCCGGAACTCTCTCAGTTCCCGGTGTCCGGGCAGAAAGTTTTGACCGCAGGTGGCGGTACGGCTCGTCCTTTTGCTTGCGGCGCCCTCCCCCAGACTCCCCGTACGAGGATAGATGGGCGTAACACGAGAAATCCCAAGCAGCGGTTTCCTGTTGCTTGCCCTTGACACCAAATTTAAACCTGATACCCTCAAAAACGCATGCGTGCACACACGCACGCGCGCACACACGCGCGCGCACACACGCGCACGCAAGCAGCCAAATGTTGGGGCGCCCTTCCTTTTTCCCGTTTTGGGGCCGTTTTGGGTATGCAGAGTCTCCAAGGTTCCTTGCCCCTATTAAAATTCAAATGTCAAGGACCCAATTTAGATCATGAAATTCCTGGACAGTAAATGATGGTTATATATAAATCCCTTTGATTAGATCGTGGCAACTGAACTCCAGGGGAGTGGTTTGCTGAGGCACATGAGGCGTAGATCCTCACAGATCGAAGTCTTGGCGGACGGCGCGTGAGTCGCACGAGTCGCACGAGACGCGCGCGAGTTGGGAGGGAAGGCGGTCGCTTGAATCACTCGAGTATTTTTGTACTACCCAGGGGGATGCCACGCACAAAAGTGATCCGGATTCCCACTAACAGTGGGCACGCGGTGGATCAAAGTCCACCGGTTATTCCTCCGGAGTTAACCTTAATGTTGGCCCCATATTAATCAACAAACTATAGTTCTGATTCTGGGTTTAGTGGGGGATCAGACCCCTACTAAATTATTATGGGGTCAACATGTTTGTGGATTTTACCTGTTCTTCCTCCGTTCTTTTTTATTGCTCGCTTGGTGCCCTTTTGATGTCCTACAGATGTGCATCCACAAAAGCCGCACCCAAAAGACGCTCTCTGGAAACGCGTGATTAACACTAACGTAGGTTGCAGGATTTCCTCCCCGTCTTGCCAACAGCAATGACATGTGGCTTCCACTGCACCAAAACCACCCGGCCCCAGGGAAATTTGTTATTTACCCCGGTTTGTCGGTTGCTGTGGGCATCCGAAATTTGACCTACTACTTGGAGGGGTCGTGGAGTTTGATAAATGGGCATGTGGTTCAATGCATGTGGCAGTGCTCTGGTCACGTATAAGCTGAGGGACGAATTCAAAGCCATGACGCAAGGAGACATGGCAGCCTACCAACAGAGAGAAAGCGAGATAGAGAGAGAGAGAGAGAGAGAGAGAGAGCGAGATAGAGACTAGTGGTTGTTAGCGACTACAGGTGGCTATTAGCCACTACTCGTGTCTTGTAGCGACTAGTGTTTATTGGCGACTGCGGCGGACGAATCCCGTGGCTTTGGGTCCAGTTGATCTTTGACCGGTGCTGCGCCAGGCGGGTGACGTGAACGGAAGCTGCGGCCCGTAGGAATCTCCGACCCGCGTCTGGTTTTGGGGCCAAATCCACGCGTGAAAATGAAAATCAGCTCGGGGGCATGGGGACAAGGGATGGGCGAAATCCATTTCGCACCACCAACGAAGCCATGGTTGAAGCCATTGTTTGTTGGTATTTGCAGGGGAAGCATATCTTTCCGTTGGGTTTCTGAACGGTGGTGCAACCACCCACCAGAATGAACAACAACACGGGTGCATGGGTCGGCCTTAGGCGATGGCCATGGGGACTCAGCGCATGCCTCAAGGCATCGCCGGGAATTTCCACGGCATCGCGGAGGGCCAGGCCACTAAGTGGCCAGGCTCGGAGCCAAATTCCGACAGACAGCCCCCCGCATCTTTGGCGCATTTTGCTTGGCTGTTCGCACTTTACCTTTTTGCCAACTAATGGGTTTTCCATTAAAAGTTAGTCACTTTTAGCAGGGGAGCAGATTTCGCAACCGAGGCATGGTCTTCCACTTCGGGGGTGTTTCTTAGGTCATCTGGGCCTCCGCTGCCCAGCTGCTTCCGCTTCCGAGGAACTTCAGCGATTTGAAGTGTCTGGATTTCGAGCAGCATTTCGACGGGGATAGCCCTGCCAAAAAAAAACACATGTGGTTAATAAAGGGAGCCCATCACTACTGGAGATGTTGCTTTCCAGGGGGCGAACACGCAAATGGAGGATGACACACCCACATTCGCCACAGAAGCTCAGCGTCAGAGCTGCTCCCAATGGAGCGGGTAGGATCTAGCGAACTTATGACTTATTCTAGGGGTTGATTCCCCATTCTTGTCAACCATCGTTCTTTTCAAAAACCGGATATGTTTCAAACCTGGGTTGTTGGATGGTCTCCTGAAAAGATTCGGATCCCTGGAAAGAATGGGGAAGGATCCCTAGACTTATGAGTTACTCGGCCCGGCCACTCCGGCGGCTGAGAAATCACCTGCGAGCGAGAGAGGAGAAAAGATGGGATGGACATCTCGGGGATGAACGGGATGAACAGAGTCGCGTGTGTCTTAGTGTCCTTGGAGTGGTAAGCCACAACGTTGCTTCAGTTTCCCTGAGATCTTGTATTTAACACCTATACCATGTGTACATGGATGTGTATATATATATATATATATATTTGTCTATATTTATGTGTGTGTGTGTTTTGTCGGGGGGGGGGAGGGGCACCGGCCGCTTGGGCGCGAGGTCCCACTCCCCGTTTAGACTCGCGATGCCATCGATCATTTTCCTCTGAATGCCTTGCCAATCCAAGTTACGGCGCCTTGAGTGTGTTTGCCTGCCAGGGCGGGTTCCTTTCATCCCATGGTTTGCCGTTTCCACGGTTGGGATAAACAAGCAGCCGCCCTGGTAGAAACCCTTTTCAGGGGAGTGCTGTTCATTTCAGTGGACGAGGCAAACCCTGTGTTGTCTCCCCGGGGAGCTAGTTTCAACCAGCATCATCCCGTGGATCAGGGCAATGGGTTTTGGCATGGGCGTGTGGTTATAAGGTTGATGCAAGTGGCCAGGCTCCATGTTTACCCCTTGGCACAATAAGACAAGGACGGCCATCAAGGTGTTGGAAGACCCCGCCCTCAAATGAGCAAAAACACCCAGGGAAAGTATCAACACGCCTCCAACAGCAGCAACAGCAACAACCGCAGCATCAGACTTGGCTTACCTTGGACTACAACAGGCATGAAGACGATTGAAGACATTCGATTGGATGGTGTTTTGCAGAGCTCCGCGCACCTCCCGTGCCTAGCTGCGCCTGCTTTCCCTGTTTCCCACGAATCCGGCTTCTCCTTTCTGTTCAAAGGATGGACTAAGTTGAAGCCTAAATAATCCGATTTTTTGTTGTGGGGTACTTAAACTTTAGCCATGATATAGGGGTAAATGATTTGTAACTGCTTGGCCCCTTGCATCGGTCGCACATCGGCTCAGAGCTCCTGACCGGTGGGCTGGGATCTCGGATTCGCCTCGATCATCGAGTCACCATGCCGGCCCCTTCGCTGCTGGCGCATTTGGACGCGTCCAAGGACCCCAAACGGCCGAGCTTTCCCCAGCCGTTCGGACAGATGGGTCTGTCGCAACACAACCCAGACCTCCAGTGGTGCTTTTTTTCTCCTTTCCTTTGGAGGGGGGGCGTCCGAATCAAAACAACTACCAAAAGGAAGCCCCTGCGCACTTGGAGCTTAGGATTTGGAAGGCTTTTGGAAAAGAGCAACCTGAAGGCCACCAGCCATTTGAGCGATCCCGGATTTGGAAAACACGAGAGAAAATCAAGCGGCGTGTCCAAAAGTACATTGCCTGACTAAGATGTGTGCTCTTTCGCCTTTTTGGGGCTCTCTTTGGTTTCCTATTAGCGGGCCCAATGAACTGGTCTGGTTCTATTGACACCCGACCCATTGTGAAGGGCTGGCTTGGGCTCCAGTGTGCCAGTTGGGACGAACATATCTCGTGGCCTTTGGATAAGCAGTGGGCACAATGGTGTGTGGTGTGTGTTTTTCTTGTTGGTCCCTTTGGGGGTAGACTTGAAGGGAGAACTAGAAGGACACCAATTATGTTTGGGCGCCTCACATGTTGACACACACACACACACACACAAACACAATTGTCCAAGTCGATCTTACTCTTTGGCTTCCATTTTGCTCTGCGTGAATATTACGCCTTCACCCGCCAATCTATGATATCCTCGGCTCCCTGCGGAAGTAAAGGCAACTTGTTTTCTCCTTTCTTACAGTTGAGTGGATTTCCTGAAATCCATTTGTGCTTGCTGGGTTCCCTAAATTTGGAAATCAGGCTGATACGCTTCTCTTCACCCTTCATTCACTTTAGACACCACATAATTTCCCAGGACCGCATGGCCCCGTTTTTGAGCGAAGGTTTCCTGAGAATTGGGAAGGCACAGTTGGAATGGGAGTCTGAATCCCTAAAATTCACCTTCACTGTTCTTTGCATGATTTTCCAGGCTTTTAATATGTTTTTTATGTCCATTCTGAGTTGGGGGGCTGCATAAAAGCGAGCCAAAAACAGTCAACGTGTTTTGTTTGCTACCATGCCAAGGTTTGGGTCTGTTATTTTTATGGCAACCCCACAAACCGGTGGTACCCCTTTTTTAAAAACACCACCCAAAAAAGGGTACCAACTCCAAAAAGAGACAAGTTACCCCAGCAAGTTCGACCGGGGGAGTTCCCGTTTTACGCGCGTCCGCCTCGCCTTCAGGACTCCACGGCTCTGTCGTTGGCTTACGCCTCTGTGGGGGATGACGGGTGCACCGCCATCGCGCGGTACATGCGCGAGAACGCGCGGCGGCCCATGCCGCTGACTGACTGGGCGAGCGACAGACCGACGGACAAAAACAAAAACTAAAGCGAAGCAGTTAGTTTGAATAAATTATCTAAAGCATATGATAACTTTATTTTATAGAAAATACTTTATTTACATATATATATGCACATATACATATATATATATATATCTGTTAATTTAGAAAGAGACAGAGACAGAAACAGAAACAGAGACAGATAGACATAGACACAGAGACGCGGACAGAGACACGGACACAGACACAGACGCGGACAGGGACACAGACACATTCGCAACGTTGGGTAGCCTACTTACACTCCTAGACGAACATGTTTAAGAGGGGCCTTTTGGAGACCTCCTTTTGGGTTCTTTCGGTTCGAAGCAAAGCCTAACACGGGCAAACCTGGCGTTCGCCCTGCACGGAAAAGACATGTCAAGGGGAAATCCCTTTGACTGAAAGGGTGATGTGGCCATGTCGTTTCGGGGACCCACAACATTGTGGTGTTCCTTTTTTCGTTTTCCACAGATAAGGGGGTACCAAAATACAGACCGGCTCGTGTGTTCTTCTTGTGTTCTCCTCGCGTTTCTGGCGATTGCCGCTTAGAAATTTGCGGCTCATGGACCAGCCCTGGTGCCAAAAGGTCCCCGATGGACCACCACTGGTTCAGACCCACTGTGTTCCTAAGGGCGGGGGAGAGGACACTCTGTTTTGTTGAGCTGCCGATCCTTTGCGGGTGCTCAGTCGGATTGTTTTTCTGAGGCACTCCCTATAGGCCGCGGGTTCATTCCATTTCGCATTCCCTACTCAGCACCAGCAAGTTTTTGCATGGGCCTCGGGGTCCGGGCATTGGGGTTGGGGTTGGGGGAGGTTCCTGATATTTCTTGCTGGTGCGTTAAGTAGGGAATGTGGCAATGAACCCAGGCTTTGGTCCCCTTAAAGGAACCCACCAGTTGGATGGGTCACCCCGTTCCTCTGATTCCCTGCCTCTCTCGCACGTGCTTCGGAGCCGGGGCCGCGAGGTGATGCTCCGCACTTTGGACCTGCGGGGGAACAACATCCGCCGCCCGGCGCGAGATCCAAAGCCCGGGTCGGGCCGGAGCGACGCGCTCCGCAAGTGATTTTTGGGCCTATTTTGAGACTCGAAAACGGCTAGGTGCCGTTTCGGCTTTTGGCACTCTTTGGGTTTGGACCAATTTATATAGTGGGAAACGGCCAGGTTTGTTTTTGTTTGGCCCCTTCCACTCAGGAAGTCAGGGGAAGAAAAATCGTGTGCGATAACTACGAAGTGTAGACTGACACAACTGTTCGACTTGCGCAAAGTCCACTCAAGTGAGCAACGCTTGGAATTTCTGAAAAAATATATATAGACTTTGCACAGTCCCTGGCACAAAAGAGCACTCCCACCCTGTTGATTTGCATGGTAGACCCTCAAGTACCAGGTTGTCAGTACGACTCGTAAGGTGATGTCCTAGAATGGGGAGAAAGGACTTGCTTTTGGTTGGTGTCCCGTATGTTGGGAAACAACCAAGAATTTATCGGTCCCGTTGGTGCATTTTGATGTGATTCCAAGATCTTAACCTTGAGCATGTGTAGATAGTGATGGGCATCAACTACTTCGGTATCACCAAAGTTGTTTTTTCCCCAAAACCACGACTTTCATTTGCTTAATGTGTTGCTTGTATTTTTCCCTCTACAAAGCAAATGGGTGTGTCCGAGCCCCACAAAACATGTTTTTTTTTGGAAAAAAACAACTATTTGTTTAATTGGGTGTCTTTTTCGCAAACCACAAAACACGGGGTACCCTCAAAAAAGGAAAGAAGCAAATGGAGGAGTTCCGCTTCCGTTTGCTCCGGGCTTCACGGACAACCGAGGTGCAGATGGCTTGGTCGTGCTGGCGCACGGCCTCCGGTCAGGTGGGCCAGCCGGACTGCTTGCCGAAGTGGCGAATGGGGTCTCTTTGACTTCCGTTTGGTTAAGAATACTTTTCATTTTCCCCTGTTGGTTTTAAAGGGAATCTATCACTACTGGTTGTTGTTGTTTTTTCTTCCTCCATGGGGACTGAAGCAAATGGAGGTTGAACAGGTACCCATTTCGAGCTTGGGAAAACTCAGTTGCCCAAAGCGAATCCACCTTTTGATGGTTTTCCCCTTAGGTCCGTTTTTAGTAGAGCTGCCAAAGGTTAACCTTTTATTTCCAGGTCCTTTGGGCAAGTGAGGAAAGCATGGAACAGAATCAGACTTTTGGCCCCACCTGTGGTAAGGACGGCTTACCGATGGTGATAATCGGACATGACGCTGTACTTTGGAAGCTAAGGTATTTTTTTTCGTGCAGGGGTGAGTCTTCTGACGACCAAACGAGTGACGGGCGTCGTTGTGTTTTTCTTTTGCTTTCCCTTCAAGTCCGCCAGAAAGGGGTTACCCTCACCTCCATTTGCTAAAGAATCTTGTTTATTTTCCCTCGTTGGCCTTAAAAGGAATTCATCTTCTCATTTTTTCCTGGGGCTTTAACCAAATGGAAGCTCAAAAAAAGACGAGTGAGCCGCCCATCCGATTTCCTGAGTGCCAACAACGGGCCACGGCAGCTGCAGGCGGAAGCAACATGACGAGCGCGCCGCGGCCAGCACTTGCTTTGGGTTTGGCCATGGGGGAAAGGGCAGGAGTAGCTGTGACTCTCACAAGTTAAGGTCGACATGTAGGAGAAGTTACTTCCGTTTGGTTAAGTTGTTCCCCCCCCCCCGTTGGTTTTAAAGGAAATCTATCACTGCTGGAAACATGTTAATTTTTTTCCAGGGGACTTAAGCAAATGGAGGGTTAAGGTAGGCATGCAGGAAAACCCAGCGTTTGGCCCAAGCCTAGCATGAGCTTCAAGAATCCACCTTAGAACACTCACTTCCTGAGTTCATGGGCTTTTTATGTTTTGTACCTTTTGGGAAAACCGTTTTAGAGGCATACATAAACGTTTGGACTTCGTTTGGCCCGTCCACCGCCTCCGGAAACCTTTTTTGGGAAACTGGACCAGCGCAGGGTCAACAGCCGACATGCTGCGCAATGACGGCTTGGTGAGTGTTGGCACTTCAACTAGGGGCATGCTGCGCAACTTGTGAGATGAAGACCCCTTTTTTAGGGGTTCCCTAGTTTTGCTCGGGGACTCATAGTCGGTGTAAGTGGTTTGATGATGTTGAAGCAGCTTAAATCCCCATTCCGGCCGGCCAACGTTGGGAGTTCCAGTGAGGTGCCACAGTTCAACTTGCCGGGGGCACCTTGACTTTTTCTATAGGGTGAACACGGACAGTACAGTGTCTCTCATATTGCTAAAGGAATGATCGAATCGTGTCGAATCAACATGTGCGTGTATGTGTGCTCCACCTACTTGTGTATTTTTTACCAAGGTGTAGTTTTACCCAGTTTGCTAGAGTAGGGGAAAACAAAACACTTAGTTTTGCTTTTGGCTTTCTTTGAAGCAAGGCGAGCAGGGTACCATCAAGAAAAGGGCAAGCCCCAATACCAAAATGCTCACGTTCGCGCGAACACCCGGCTGACAAGGTCCCGTGCCAACATGACTGCCGAGGTTTAGCTGCCACTGTTTCAACGCTTCACGAGTGAAATCGCGCAAGCCTCTGGAAGTTCCCTCTTGCCAACCAGTTGAAAACACCTTGGACAAAACGGCTTGGACGAGCGTTTTCTGCGTTGGGCGGATATCCACCCGACGGGTTTGGTTTTTGTCGTCCAAAGACCCGGAGTTTTTCCCGCAGCGCGAGGTGTGCTTCAAGTGGAACCAGATCGGCAGCCACCCTCGGGGCATCCAGGCGCTCTGCGATGTGCTGAAGGCCAGAGGGGGGGGGGCAGCGAAGTGCCGAGTCTCTTTCCGGAGTCGGTAAAGACCTTGTTTGGGGTTTGTAGCGGAAGCCAAAACTCACTTCCCGAGTTTATGAACTTCAAACTGTTTTTTTGGGAAGGCCATTTTAGTGGTGGGTGCTTTGTTGCCCGGTGGGTTGCTTCGGTTTTTTTTTTGTTTTTTTGTTTTTTTTGGGGGGGGGGGGGTAAGTGTTCCCCTTTAAACTCAACCCAACAAAAAGGAAAGTGCCTTGTTTTTTCCCCGTGGCCACTGGGCATCTGAAAATGGTTTGTAGCGGAAACCAAAGAAACCAAAAAAGAAACCCCCGAAATCCCATGCTTGGCGCAAAACGAGAGCCCCCCCCCGTTGGTTGAATCTCAAGGTGAGTTTTGGTTTGCTTATGGGAATTGGGGGGGGGGGAGGGTCTGGTCAAAGAGCGGCGTTCTTCTCCCTTTGGCCGTAGCTTGAAAACTTAAAACCACCCACTTTAGATGGTAATGCTTAGGAAGGGGATCCAAAAGAAAACCTCCCGCAAAACAGGGGTCCCTGTTTTGAAAGACGCCTGAGTTTGCCTTGTGGTCGGATCTTGAGAGGACGTCACGATTTGGTGAGGACTTCTGTTCACCAGCCGCGTCTGGTTTGAAGCTTCATGGTTGGGTTGGAGTGTCCAACCATGAAACTTCAATCAAACGCATGCAGTTCCAAAGGAGGTCGTGCAAACAATGGTTTGACTGGAGACGACAAGGGGGATCGATCCGAGTGATTTCCTGCATATGTTTGCCAGTGCTTTGAATCTCAAAGTGATGAAACTCAAACAAGCGCGGGGTAGACGGCAGGAGTAACTATGACTCTCTTAAGTCAGGGTTTGGCCCAACCCTGCCATGAACCGATTCTTTGTTTGAGGGAGGGGTGCTACTTTTCAATGGATTGCTTTGGTATTACCTTGTGAATGGCCGAGTCTGGAATTAGAGCATGAGAGGGTAGTCACAGGCAGACAGATGCCTGGCAGATGCCTCCGGCCACATCCACCAGCCATGTGAGGCCCGTTCAACAACCCCCCCCCCCCCCCAAGGGTTTTTCGCTTTCTGGGGATAGGTATCTTCCCTCTTGCCGCCATTGTGCACAATGTGCGATGGAGGGGCAAGCACATGAGAGGGGGCACGCCGAACTTATATGAGATGACATGCTTAAACTTTGGCATCGCAACCGTGAAACAAGTCTGCCACCATGAATGAACAGGTGGGGAGTTCGTTTGAGTTCAGGTTTGTGAGTTTATGACTGTAGATTGGCCGCCTTTGTTCAAATCATGTCGGCATGACGTGAATCTTTCAGCGGGAAGCTTTCAGGTGCTCAATGGCCAACCTCGCAATTCTCAAGCCCGTCATGCAGATGTCGAATATGTTGTTAGCACGCTTCCGTCCAAATTGTCGAAGTCTTTCTCTTCTTCTTTTTTTGCCAGGCCCCTTATTTTGCGCCGCGTTCCCGGTGAACACCGCCCCAAAGGCGGTTTTCGGAGCCCAAGCGGAGCGTCTCAGGACAACCAGTCCATCACCCACGTTGACTTGCGGATGCCCGGCTCGATTGGCAAGTCCACTCCCGCTCGAGTTCCGTTTCGGACTTCGTGCATTTTTTGGGGGGGGACCATTTTAGTGGTACCCTCCCTCTTACGTTGCCATGGCGCCTGACAGGGGAATCGTTGTTTGAAGATGAAATGGACCTTCCTTGAAGATGAATTGGACCTTCCAGGCTTTTACCCTCCCACAAATGCTATGTTAGTGGGAGGCAGGGTAAACAACAAGTGTACACACTTGTTTGCAAGGTCAATCCACTCAGGAAGTGAGTTGGCCTCGTTTTTGCAGTTGGGTGAAAGTTGTCCTTTGTGATTTTCCTTGGGCTTTGAGCCAATAGAGTCATTTTGTGGATCTGATTTTGGGTTGAAAGCAAGCGGCATTCGTTCATTGTGTTTAATGATCAAATGATCCCCTTCAGCCTCTGTCTGGCATCGCCATCTTTCGGGAATTCTCTCGGGCACCTCAGGGGCCTCCATAAATCGTGCCGTGCCTATGGGTTTCGCGAGTTGAAGGACGCTGTTTGATGGGTATCCCGCGAACCGCCGAATCAAATCCGAATCAACCAACCCTAACTTGGCATGCCCCAGCTAGAGGAAGCTTATTTCAGACTGGCCTAGGAGTTTCTGACTGTTCTCGCTGGCCCAAAGATTCATGAAAAGAGAAGCAGGTGCCCTTTGTTTTTCTCCTTTTTGGTTTTAAAGGGTATTTATGATTACTGGACAGATGTTCTCATGATTCTTCCAGGAGCTTAACCAACTGGAAGTTGTTTTTTCTTCTGCTGTTCTTTTTGCCACTTGCGCATGGTGAGGAACAACAAGATCGGAACCGACTGCGCCCACTTCCTGGGCGACATGCTGCGCCACAACAGCCCCTTGGCAGAACTGGGTCCCAGTTTTCGGGCTGGAGAGACCTGCGGAAGTCTAGGGCACACTTCCAACCATTCTTTCCAGGGATCCTTCTTTGCAGAAAGCCATCAGAATTTCAGGGGAAACCGCTGGTTTTTGAAAAGAACGAAGGTTGAAAAGAATGGGAACCAACCCCTAGAGGAAGGGAGAAAAGCTTTTCCTATGTTGTCCTCATTTTGGGATTGCGTCGGCCATGGATGCCTGCTACATACAGCTTCCCCCTATTAAATTACAAGTTCGGCCTTGTTTTGTGAACAAAACCAAAAAAAAGTGAGGCCGTATATATTAGGGGGAAGTGATTAGCCAAGTTCAACTGGGCTCAGTTGTGATTTTGTCAAAGAATGTTTTCCCTTCAAGCCGCAAACAGGGTACCCGGAAAAAGAAAAACGAAGAAGACACAGTGAACCAATTGGCGGGCCCCCAAAATGGCTTCGGTTTTCCCAAACATTGGTTTCCCCTTCAACCCCCCCTCCCCCCCCAAAAAAAAGGAGGGTACCCGGCAAACGAAGACCAAGCACACACACACACACTCGTTTTGGTGCAGGTCCAACCTCCGGACGGCTGAGGCACCGTGACTCACCTGGACCTCAGCTGGAACGACCTGGGGGTGGAGGGTGGCAAAGCGCTGCTCGAGGGCATGCAGGCGCAGGGGAAATGGAATGCTGACCCCAGATGAACAAAACCGTCCTATTGATCATTGATACTGTGGGTGAGCAAAATCCTGCATAATTTGAAAACATGGTTGAAACCGTTGTTTGTTGGTACTCACAGGCGAAGCATCATGCCAGGGTTTCTTAGGTGGTGCAGGATTTTGTCCATCCACAGTAGGGGGGTGTTGTTTATGTGTTGTCTGAAAAGTGGTGAATCCCCAATACGAGGGGACAACCCCCCAATGAATCAACCAGGAGTTTATGAATCCAGGATTCCCATTGTGTCAACCGCGAGACGGGGAACCGCGCAAATGAGAGATTTGAATCCACCAGCCAGTGAATTCATGTGCTGCGGTTTCCCGCCACCTTTGTTTCCGAATATGTGGGACGAATTTCCTTTCCAACCAACCAAAAAACAGTGTGCCCTTTTTGCCCCTGGCGACTGGGCTTAGTTGCGCCAAGCTGACCTTGTAGATGGCACTACTCCATGTTTTTGCCCTTTTTTGTTGCCCCTCAGTAGCGAGGATGTGAAAGCCTAAACTGGGCAGGTCGTGCATCCAGGCGTGAAGGACTCGCTTCAGACCAGCGCCAGTTTACCTGGGCTGCCCAAAGCTCTTTCCTTGTCTCACTGACTGAGTTGCCGGACTCAGAAGTGTCTTTTTGCCGCCTTTTGTGAGAAAATGAGTGACCCCCTCAAAAAGGGATCCTTCACTATGAGGGGGTCGATCATTTTTCCACAAAAGGCGGCAAAAAGACCCCCTGTCCGGACTTCCCTTCCTTTTCGGGGAAGACCGTCTTGGTACGCTAAATGCACAGTTTAGATCTTCGTTTTTGGCCAATCTACTGAGGAAGCGAGTAGTCCTTTCTTGAACAAAAAAGGTTTTGTTACTCCCCTTTGGAGTGGTTTGTCACTTGCGGCTGTAGATTGGGAGTTGCCCTCCCTGCGTAAGGCTTGCCAGCGCGCAGCATACAATTTTTGATTGGGTGAAAGTATCAAGCACGACCTGCATCGCCCTGTTTTACGGCGACCTCACCTGGCACTCGGGGTACAACGAGCTATGATGTAGGTCCAAGTCTGATTTCAGGCTTGGACATGTTGACTTCACTGTTCTTGGCATGTTTTTTTTCTTGGTTCTGTTTATTTATTTATTTATTTATTTATTTATTTATTTATTTAGAGTTTTTTTTTTGGGGGGGGGGGCTGAAAAAAACATAGTTTTTTGCCATACCAAGAGTAGAGATGTTAATGTTACTGGAGTTGGAATTGAATAGCTTGAGGCGTAAGCCCCAGACACAAGAGGGGTAGAAAACCGCAGACTTGTTGTAGAGGGCTGCAGGTGGCTTGGGTTGCGCCCAAAATCCCCGAGCAAACCGACACAGGGCGGCCCCGAACTCGGTGGAGTCCTATCCTCACGCCCGAAATGGGTATTTCTCGAAGGAATCAGTCCCCAGAAATGTTGCGCCCCAATGCCAACAGGGGGCTCCATGTTCCGAAACTCCCCCTAGACCTCGCGGGGAAGCGGGGGGGGGGGGGGGGCGGCCTTGGTTTGCCGTTGGACCACAAGCAGTTTCATTACCAGCAAGTTTCAGGGGAGTCAGCCTTTCAGATCCCGCAGTCCATTGGAAGAACTCGACAGGCAAATCATGCGGTGATTGATCTCCAGCTCAGCGGCAATCGGGTTGCAGAGGAGTGATGGGGCTGGAAGCTTGTGTTCAATAGGAGGTTTTGTCTGGAACCAGGGGCGACGAGATTATATGAAAAAAAATCAGGGCAAACCGTTTGACTCGATTCCGGCCCCTGCTCGGAACATACGCCGCCCCACAGCAAGAGGCCTTTGCTTTCAGAAACTTCATGGGATATGCAAGCACTCCATACTACTAAATGGCTGTGGGTCAACAATAGTTACCCCAAACGGAACCCTGGTAAATGGAAAGCTGGACTGGTCCCCTTGTGGTTTAATGTTGACCCATACCCATATCAGGGGTATATACCCGGTTTTTGCCCTCAGAGTGGTGGTTTTAGGGCAGTGGAAGCCATTTTAGGAAAGAGGAGCCTGGGAAGTTCGAATCTTGGGGCACGATGGAGGCAGTCGCACCACTTATTTTACTCAGTTGTTCAGAGGGGCCCCTTTTCCCCTTTGTTTTTTCCTCCCGGGGCACTGAACAACTGAGTTTATGCATAGTTTTGTCCCATTGCCATGCGTAAGCTCCGGAACTGAAATAGTTAAGATAGTTCCAAGTAGAATACACTTACGAAACGCACATTGTTGCCTGATGATGCTGCTGCCTCATTGCATGTTTAACTTGTTTGGCCGGCGTTCAGGCATGAGCAATGAACAGGAAGACACCACCCCAAGTAGACGTCTTAGGTCCCTGGACGCGCCCAACCCCTGGCACTGCCAGGACACACTCCACGCCATCGCCTTCATCCTGCGACGGAACCGCCAGACTGCGCCCATGGGAGTGTCTCGGCTAGAAATCGAAATCATGTAGAGCTTGCTGGTGCGCAGGCATCCGCTAGGTTCCCCAGCTAGGTGCCCTTTTCTCCTTTTTTAGGGGAGGGTTCTCCTACTAAAAATAGGCTACAGAAAAAAGGGTACCAACTTATTCTATCCCCCCTACTGGAGGAGCTAGTCCGGTTCCTGAGCTCCTGAGCTTTGTATTTGAGCAAGGCTTAATAAACCGGCAATAAGACACTTTTAAGTTGAAATAACCTGTTCGTTTTTCGGGGCCAAGGGTTTCCTCAACATTCCTTCGGGGTTGATTCCTGCTCGGCTTTCCAGCGCCCAAGGCTTGACTGCTATTGGGTTGGATCTTTAGGCTTTAAAACTTTTTGGGAATCCAAGTTGGGTTTTCCACTAAACCCCCAACAAGTGATTCACTTTTTGCCGGGGGGTCGTTGCGAATGCGGCCACCCGGGCAACTTCAGGCGTCCCGTCTGGCCGCCCCAGGCGCGCCCGCTGAGGCCAGCACCTTTCGCCAAGAGCGGGCCATGACGGCGCAGGCGCGGCGTTGCGAATGTTCAGAGAGAAGGACGCTCTCCCAATGGGCCCCTACCTGGATCGCCAAGCCTGGCCCCTGGGTAACTGGGCCGCCGGTTTTGTTTTTTTCTCTCCACTTTACCCCCAAAACCGGCAACGGTGACTGAAAAAGGCGATCGCAACTTGGCTATCTAGGTATAGGTAAATGGGTCGCCAAGTCTTCCAAAGGTGTGCTGGGAACTTCCATGTTCGCCCGGGGGAGGGTTTGTGTCAACATAGGGGACCCGACAAAACCGCGGTGTTTGCTTTGGACGCCTCCCCTGGGCCTGTGTTGCCCCATGGCATGGGCTGGGAACAGTGCCCCTAAAAAGAACCCGGCATGCCTCGATGCGGCTTTGCTTGAGGTAACAAGATTGTGGGCACTGGGAGACTGGTCTGGAAAACTCGGGCTGGTGCAGTAGGGGGTCTACGGGTGTTGTGCGGGGGCATCAATTTCTGCCCAGTGCAGGAAGCACTGCCTTGCCCAACATACAGTGCCGTTACTCATTGCCCGGACGCATGTGCCTTTTGCCGTGTGTTTATAGGATTGCTATTTCAATGTTCCTGGTTTTGTTTGGGCCGGACGGGTACTGCTTTTTACCCCCCTGTGAATGAACTAGGGACATGTCAAATCAACCCTTGTCAATGGATTGACCCTTTGGGCCATCCCCCCTTGAGAGAGGAACGACCCTGCGACCGTTGGGAAGTGTGCCAACGCAGCCTTTTCGCCTGCTTTAGACCGGTCGGTATCCCTTTCCCTCCCCCCCCCCCCAGAACAGAAGCCTTTGGTGCATTTTGCTTGTATGTTAGGATTTTAACTTTTTGCCAACTAACGCGTTTTCCGAATTAAACCACTAAAAGTTATTCACTTTTTAGGGGAGCAGAAAGCAGCCGGGAAGCGGTTCGCGCGCGAAGCCGGCCTTTCAGAATCATAGGTGTCCTTTGTTGGTTGTTTTGCTCGCAAAAATTGAGGGCGATTCCTGGTTTACCTGGTGGTTTAATAACCTACCAGGGAAACCCATCTATTTCCCCCAAAAGGACACCTATGGTCAGACTGCCACTTGACGTCGTTTCATGGCGTTTCAGGACCCGGCCTCCCCGGGCCGGGCGTCGCCGTCGGCGTCCGTGGGCTTCGCTCCCACCACTCCGGGCACGCGCACTAACGCGGAGCGCGCGGCAACCCCCGGGTCGCCGGGTTTTGGGAGCACCGTGCCCTGGCGGTGAGTTGGGTGGGGGGAGGTGTGGGGAGATGGGGGCGCAACGTTTTACTCTTTGGGGTTGGCTAGAAGGGAAGCAGCAAGAAAGCAAGCCATGTTAGGAGTTTCCCTACTTTGAGACAAACCCATGGCACCGTAACATTAAAGCGCGATCCCCTCTTAAACTGAAAACCCCCTGCTCATCAAAAACCACAAACATTTGCGGACCGGTGATTCCAATCGTTAAGGCCAAGTTAACCGAGCTTCTCTCACAATATATGCACCCCAGAAGGTGTGGTTTTTCCTTCAGTTTGCGGCCAAGAAAAACTAACGGATGCAACCATGTCCTTCCTCCATGGTCGTCTTCCAAAGCCATTCCCTAAACCGTGCACCCCAGGGATTCGACCACAAACACTCAGACACGAGACACAGTTCCGGCCAGAGCAGCTGAGCAGATGCTCTGGAGCCCTTTCGGGGATTCGTCCCCACGCCCACTCGACATGAGAAAAGCGGTCGATGTCGAAGCCTGGAGCATATCTTCATAGCATGCCCCCTTGGCCAGAACCCTTACATCCACAATCCTGAATGGGTGGATGAGCGGCTCACTTGTCAGCTTCCGGCCTTTGTTTTTTGGACCATTTCTGTGCTCACTTGCCCAAAGCCGACCTTGACCTGTTGGTTTCCCTGATTTGGTCAATAAGAAATTTCAAGGCTCCCACCTCCCAGTTCCAAGTCCTCAAGCGAGTGCGATCTTGAGAGGCCTTGGATGTGTCTCCATCTCCCGTGAGAGTTGGATCTCAGGCGCGGTCAGTGAATCTCAACATCCCCTCCGAGGACGGGATTTCGGGATGTTGCGGGAGGGCCTTTGCCGTTTTCTGCTTTTGAGGAGAGAGCAGTTTTTCCTGGGAGAGACACAACCACGCAAGTTTTTAAGTCTCCCGTAGAAACAGATGAAAGCAGCCTCCGTCCTTGGCTCGCCGCAACTCCGAGGCCCTGGGTTTTGCTTCAAGCAAGTAGGCGTCGTCCTTGTCCTAGACTCATCTTTTTTAGTTTGGGTAATGCAAAGCTATAGAGGGTCCCTGAATACCATCCGATGGCTTTTGGGGGGTAAAAGGGGTACAAGATCCTTAGAATGTACCAAGGGGCCCCGTGGGTATAGCTACTCCCTTTGCCCTGGCACAGCCCGGTCTCCAGAAATTCATCAGAGGTGCCAATGGCAACTTAATAGGGCTAGCATTGCGGGGTCACAGCACAGGCCGTTCTGAGCAATTACTTCCGCCAGTTCAGGGAGATCGCATTGGTTTGCTTGCTCTGGGGAAAAAATCCGAGGTAGATCCATTTACCATCGCAATGTAGAGCAAGGGAACCGATGGTTCGCTACAGGGGTCCCTCAATTCCCCTTTTCAGGACGTCGAGAAGTGGCAGTCTCAACGCACCCCACTTGTAAGTTGCAACTGTGGGATGCGAAATCCATCGAGCCCTGTACCGGCTACAGTTGCTGCAACTGGGATCTGGGCCAAAGAAACCACAGCTGGACCTTGCTGAAGATCGACGCTCGAAACGTCACCTGTCGAACAACTCAATGCACTGGGCCGGCAAGATCCCTCTCCAATGGAGTCCCTGTTTGAACACATGGGTGTGTGCCTTTTTAAGGTGCGCAACCTTTAGTAAAGGATGGAAGTTCGACCTGTGCGTTCGAACCATACCACAAATCATACCTCCAAACCATACCTCCGAACCATACCCCCCTTCACAACGCCAGGTATTACTACTACTACCACTACTACTACTACGACGACTACTACTACTACTGCTACTGCTACTAATACTACTACTACTACTACTACTACTACTACTACTACTACTACTACTACTACTACTACTACTACTACTACTACTACCACACTACCACTGCCACTTCTGCTACTACTACTACTTCTACTACTACTGCTACTTCTACCACTACTATTGCTACTACTACTACTACTACTACTACTACAGCTACTACAGCTACTACACCTCCTACTTTTACTTCTACTTCTACTTTCTATTATTACTACTACTACTACTTCTACTACTACTATTGCTACTACTACTACTACTACTACACCTACTACACCTCCTACTTTTACTTCTACTTCTACTTTCTATTGCTACTACGACTACTACTACTACTACTACTACTACTACTACTACTTCTACTTCTTCGACTACTACTACTACTGCTACTACTACTACTATTGCTACTACTACTACTACTACTACTACTACTACTACTACTACTACTACTACTGCAGCACGTGTGGTTCGCCCAGAACCACTTTGTTGCATTTTCTTGTCCCTGTCCAGCCTTTGGCTTAACTTGCCCCCATTTAGGGTTCAAGTTTAGGGCTTAACTTGCCCTCAAAAACCCTCACTTTAGGGTTTAGGTTTTGGGTTCTTGCCCCCCGTTTAGGGTTTAGTTTTGGGTTTAACTTGCCGTTCAGGTTTTGGGTTTCACTTGCTCTCATTTAGGGTTCAGGTTTAGGGACCCTTCGTTTAGAGTTTAGGGTGTGGTTTTGGGGTGTAACTTGCAAACTTGGGGCTTAACTTGCCCCCTCAAACCCTCACTTTAGGGTTCAGGTTTAGGGTTCAGGTTTAGGAGTTTAACTTGCCCTCAAACCCTCACTTTAGGGTGTGGAGAGCTTCACTCGTCATTTAACTTCTGGCTGAGCCTAGGGTAAATGCACATAGTGACCCATCGAAAAGCCGCACCCTGCGCAGTTGCGCGTATCGGCGGGGGCTTGCCGATGTTCTAAGGGCAGACCGTTCGACATCAGGCGCGGGTGCTAAAACGGTGGCAGGCGCGAGGGAATCTGAGCGTGTCAGGGCCCCGAACGAGAGTCTTCGGGCAAACCACAAGTGCTGGCCGTATCATGACTACTTTTACTACTACTACTACTACTACTGCTACTACTACTGCTACTACTACTACTACTACTGCTACTACTACTGCTACTACTACTACTACTACTACTACTACTACTATACTGATACCACCACTACTACTACTACTACTACTACTACTACTACTACTACTACTACTACGGCAAAAAACCTTGCTTCCGAACCATACCCCGAATCATACCCGAACCACACGTCGAATCATACCTTTTGTTTGTGCACGTGATCCCTGCGACCACGCGCGCAAAATTCGCCAACGACAGATCGTCAGCACAGCCACTGTTGCAACAGAAGCTTCAGTCCTGCGAACCACACCCCGAACCCTACCCCCGAATCATACCTCGAATCATACCCGGGAACCATACCCCCCATCCAAACTTCCCAGTTCGAGCACCTTTTTTTGGCACACACCCACATATACTCATTCACATGTTCTAATGTTTAGTTGACTCAGAACATGGAAATTATGGTGTGCTTTCTGCTTTGCTTCCCCGACAGCATTTTGAGGGAGGGATTCGCAGATTCGGTTTTAGGGGGTTCGGGGCTGTTGGGTCCCGATACCGCCTGCGCTGTTTTTTGAGACCCTGGGAGGGTGATGTCTCCTTTAATGGCCGAGCCCTCAGTCGGAAGCCCCGCCCCGACGCCCTGCTTTGCCCAAGCTCAGCGTAATTATTCCATCTTCCTTTTCCACAAGAAACACGCACAACAAATAAACGGACCCCCCCCCCAACCAAAAGAGTACTTCGGCTCTTGAGCTCTTTTGGACCCAGGGTGCTGGCAGCATCTGGCAGCTTTTCGAGCCCCCCCGCAGTGGATTTGATTCAATCTTGAACGACCTACCATGCAGCATTTTTTTGTTTTTCAGAACTTCAGAAAACCAAAGCAACGACAAAAACAAACGACGAAAACTAAGAACAACACCACACCAAAACCAAGCACCAAAAACCAGGTGCGAGGCTGCTGTGTCGCCGGCTCGCACCATTTGGCGTATCGTTTGGAATGGAATCGCCAGGCGGGTCTTAGCCCCAGCCCCCGAGAGGGCCCAGCCACCAGCACGCTGCCGCCGGCCACCCCGGCGAAGGCGCATTTGGTTGGGCGGGGCCAAGAAGCCGCTGGAAAGATGTGGCTGTGGGTCCAAAGTAGGGTAACCCCTAAAAGGGTGTCCCTTGGGAAATGGAGACATGGACTAAAGCCTGCGGTTTTGTGGTTGGATTTTGACCCATGCCCATATGAGGGAGGAGGGGAGGGTGAGCAGGGGAGGGGGACGAGGGGGTGCTTAGAGAAGTTCTCGCTCGGGACGATGAACTGTTTGGGAAGACAATATCAGTGGCAAATAAAACGCGCCCACGCGCCCTGTTTGCACGGTTTGGAGGCTGGGGTGCTGAAACGTGACGCAATTGGTCTTGGTTTGGCTGGGTAATTTGCTTATTCGCTCATTCCTTGCTTCATTCCTTCATCCCTTCACTCCTTCGGTCAGCAAGTCAGTCCGCCAGTCAATCGCTTTGTCAGTCGGCCAGCCAAGCATTCACAGCTCATTCCTGCATTCATCTCTTAGTTTTGCTGGTGCTCAGTAGGCTACTGACCTTCCGGGTTTGGAATGAACCGGAAGGGGACGCCCTCAAAGGAAGCCAAATCGCGGGTTGGTTGAGAGGGCTCATTCCATTTCTCATTCCCTGCCTGCCGACTGCCGACTGCCGACCGAACCAAAAAGTTTACCTCATTTGCGCTTCCATGGATTCCTTCGGGCTACCTTCGCAGCTCCGGCAGCTCCGCTGGGTTTCGTGGGGCTGTCCTTTTCTGGGATTTGTAAAACATCTTGGGATTGAAAGCATTCGCCGGCCAGAATCAAACATGTGAGAAATGTGAGTGGGCAACAGCTGAGGTAGTTTTCTCCCAACAGCTGAACGCTATGAGCCGTTTAGATTGGTGGCTTGGGGAGTTGAACCTCTGACTTTTGTAGAGTTGGGCAGCTTGCCCTGGCCCCTACCAGTCCAAACAACCACTCGGATGGTTGCTCTCCGAACCACGTGGATCTTATTTCATCTTATTTCTGTTGATTGCGTTCATAAAAACCATTTGTGCTTCTGTTCGACCGCCAAGCAGCTGTGGGTTTTGTTAGCCGCAATTTGAGCAGAGGGCGTCGGGTTGTGTTGGATCCCCCTTCGTCGTCCGTCTGCCTACCGTGGGCCGAGCAGCCCATGTCGCGTGCCTGTTGCAGGTGCAGCCTCCAGTCCACGATGAGGAGTGGGTGAGAGTCTGCCTTCAAACGTTTGTCAGCGAGTTGCAAGGAACTGGGTGTTGTTTGTGTTTGTTTGAGCGTCACTGTTATTGGAATGTGTTTGTTCTGTCTTTTGGTCTTGGCTCTATTCATTTTTAGTAGGGGGCTGGAAAAGCAAAGTTGGTTGCCACCATACCAAGAGTTGGACAGTTGAGGGAATCCTTCTCACCTTGCCAAGGGAAGTCGAAAGGACGACCACAAAATTTTCGGGTTTCTTCTACTGTGGATGGACAACATCCATTTCGCACCACTTTGAAACCATTGTTTGTTGGCATTTACAGGGAAATCATCATTCCAGGGTTTCGTAGGTGCGAAATGGATTTCATCCGTCCACAGTTTTTGACACCTCGGGGAAATAGGCTGTGCTCCTTTGCCGGAGCTCGGAAGGAAGCCTCACAGAGTTCGGGTCTCGATGTGCGAACTTGGCTATCGCGTCATTGCCATGCATGTGTGTGTGTGCACGTTAAAGGAAAGCCAACAGGAAGCTGATCGTTTTGCGGATGAATTCCAAACGCACGTAGCTATCCCGAACCCCCCCCCCCCCACACAAGTACAGCAGGGCGCGCTTTGTTTTTAGAAAAAATAAGCCCGGTGCTCTGTTTCTGGCCATGTTCAGCCCCAAAGAACTATGACACGAGGGTCACGCCGGTTTGCATTCTTCCCCAGAATTAGCTCCCCATTTTGTTGTTCGGCTTTCTGGGGTCCTTTTTGTTTCCACGAACCAGGCAAAAATGATATGTTTTTGCTGGGGTCCTAATTCCAGCCCTGTAGTTTAGCTACCTTTGAACCACCAGACACGCCTCAAACATGCGCTCAGGAACTGCACCTCGGCTGCATCTCCTTTGGGCTGTTCCGCATGGTTTTGGCGCCCGTGAATTCATCTGTGGATATTGAGTTACGCATGGCTTGGCATGTCTTTCTAGGGGTGCCTTTCATTTCCATTCTTTCCAGGGATCCGAATCTTTCTAGAAAACCTCCGGAAACCCAGGCAAAACGGCCGGTTGGAAAGAACGATGGTTGAATGTTTTTGGAGTCAACCTCTAGAGTCTTGCCCTATTTATTGCCAGTATGTCCGGTTTGTGTAGTGATTTGTTCTTTTTTTGTTATTGTCTGTTTTTGGTGTTAGTTTGACATGTCATTGATTTATTGATTTATGTGTGTCATCTGTTTGTGCGGGTCACGTCAGGGACCCAATAGTGGTTTCCCTCCAGAAGCGCAAGATGGCCTTCTGCCACTCTGCCAGGGGGGAAATGTGTGTACAGAAGTTCCTGGTGCAACAATGTTGTACACGAGCTTCGCAACACATGGACCATCATTTAACATATTTCGGTTTTTCCGGTGTTGCCTGTGACCTTCGGCCTACCTTCACCAAGAAGCCTGAGGCGAGTTACCTTAAGCCTCAAGTCTTGAACCTCAAGGAACCTGATTTAGGCCTAAGCCTCAAGAAACGACCCCCAACTGAAGCAGAGGTTTTCAGGACGGGGACTTCGCACAGAAGTCCGCCCGTCTGTTGGTTGGTGAAGTTGGGTCAGAGTCTACAGGATGCATTTGGGCTAGTTTCAAGAATCCTTTGCCAGAATTTCTTGCTCCCGGCGTTTCGGTCGTGTTTTTTTGTCTTTCCTTCCCTCCTTTTGGGGGGGGGGGGGTTGAGATCCGGTGTATGTTTATTTCCTAGGGCTGGCGTTTTTACTAGGGCTGGGTTGGTTGGTTGGTTGGTTGGTTGGTTGGTTGGTTGGTTGGTTGGTTGGTTTGCCGCATCCCCAGCATCACCAGCCTGGGGGTTGCCTATTGGCTCTGACTGGGTGTCAGTTGGGAGTTGCTGGGGGCTGGTTTAAGCTAGGGGAGTTTTGGTCTGGAATAGATCTTCATGAGGGTGGGTCTTGGCATGGTCACCAACCAACCGTCCGTCCGTCCGTCCATCCATCCATCCATCCATCCATCCATCCATCCATCCATCCATCCATGCAACTAACAAACCAACCCAGCCATAGCAGGAAAAAAATGCAGCCCTAGGAAATAACAAACCACACCTCTACCGCGGTTTTAGTGGTGAAGAAACAGTTTGGACTTTTTTTGGCAATCCACTCCATAGAAAGCAGTACTTGCATTTAGGGGATCCCCTTGTAAAGCTGGCGGTTTATGGATGCATCCTTTACCGTGACATGCCAGTTTCTGTTTGGAACGGATCTCCGAAAGCAGATGGTTTTTGGATTTACCTCTTCACCCTGATCCCCTTCTCCTTTTCTGGCGGAAAAAAAGCCCTTCGCTTTTCAGCTTTCCCCTGCGCGAGGAAAGTGTCCGTGCTTCTCAAGGAATGAGTTGGAATGACCCAGCCATCCCTTCGCTTTCCTAACCTGGGGTTCATTCCCAAAGCCTTGGGGTTCATTCCTCATGCATAGGTCAAGAGGATCCACCCTTTAGGGCACCAGTGGCCGAAAGCGCCTCAGAGCGCCGTGGGGACCACGAGGGAAAGGGGTCCTGTTGATCCAGCTTTGCCTGCTGGGGTGTTTCGGAAGCATTTGGCTGGCCTCATTCTGCAAAGGATCAAGGTCACCCCCGTTCAGTGGTGGGCTAAAGGGAAACAACCCCATTGTCTGACTTTGATCATTTCTAGAAGCAGTCAAAAGCTCCATTTTCTTTTTTTTTTTTTCCCTTGTTGGCCTTATTCCTGGAATTCATCACTGCTGGAAATATTATTTTCCTGTGGCCTTAACCAAATGGAAGAAAAACATGGCCCCAGTTTAAAGCAAGCGCAACTCAACTCATCTTCCCGGCCTGGCGGCTGAGGACGCTGAAGCTGCTCCAGCGAGAGCAGAACCACAGCAACGCTGAGGACGCGCGTTTCTTCGGAGAGGCGGGGGGGGGGGGGGCGCAATTAGCTTCACTGTTCTTTTCTTGTGTTTGTGTTTGATTGTGTTCATTTTTGGTAGGGGCCTGCAACAGGCAAAGTTTTGTGCTACCATACCAAGGGTTGTGAAGTTAGGATTGTTTGGGGGGGACCTCTCAGGGTGTGGATATAGCATGGCTCGAGCTGGGGTAGCCCTTGTCTGCTTGGTGGAGGGCTTCTCAAAATGAGTTTGTGGGGGTCCCTTCAAACCTTCATGTGCACGGCTTTCCTTGAAAGCGTAAAAACAAATGGGCTTCCTCTACTTTGTGGTTTTAACACTGTGGATGGGTCCTCGAAGTCCGTTTCGCACCTAAGAAACCATGGTTGAAACCACCGTTGCAGACGGTTTTTACCAGGAATCAGACCGTTCCAAAACTTCTAAGGGCGGTGCGATCTCTGGATTTCGCGGTTCCATCCACAGTAGGTGTCCTTTTTGGGAAAATGGACTGGTTTCCCTGGTTGGTTGAATCACCAGATACACCTGGAATCGCAACCTCCATTTTTCGACACCTATGGGCGAGCAGCATGCGAGCCGGAGACGCAGGTGGCGGAGTACATCGACCTCCTGCAGCTCGACGTGGCAAGGAACAAGAAGTACCGCATGGACGCTGAGGACGGCCAAGGTGTCGAAGCCGTAGGTGGAGGCTAAATGGCTGTAGCTCAAAAAGCCGGAATTCCAAAATGGAACCCTGGTAAGTGGAAACATGGGTACCAAAACTTGCGGTTTGCCCCTCCTGTTCAATTTTGATCCACACCCAAATGGCTGTAGGAAAAGGAATAAACCACCAGGATATGGACCGCAGGTGTGAGTCCATGTTTCCATTTACCAAGGCAACCCGTTTTGGGCACCTATTTGCAACCCACTGGTTTAGCCCGTTGCAGTTGTCAAGGATTGAACATGCTCCCTAATTGCATTTGCTTGCGTCATCCTCACCCCTTACTGTGTTGTGGCGGATGAGTAGAAGGTGGCCCCCCAAAAGAAGGTGGTCAATAGACAAGAACGCATGGGCCAGTCCAGATAGTGATCCAGCAAGTTTCGGCTTATTGTTTTGATTCGTCTTCGTTTAGTTTTGCTTTGCGCGAGCGTGCTGTTTAGCATTTGTTTAGTGCTCGTTTCGTCTTGCGTAATGTTACCTCGGGGCTGCGTTGTCTTGAGTTAGAGAGTATTGCTTCAAATGCTCAGCCACGGTTTAATGTACTGCGGCTTTGTGCTAGCTCAGCAATGTCTAGTATTGGCTTAGTTGTGGTGTGTGTGTGTTAATTAGGTTGCTGCTGCTTAGAATTTGCGTAGTATCGGCTTAGCAGTAGCGCAGTATTGCTGCGTGCTCGTACTGCCTTGCTGCTTTGTACCGATTTAGCCCAAACCGTTTTCGCACTTGTCCCAGAATCGTGCTGCCAGCTCCAAAACTTTGGCATCCCGAGCGAAGAACAAGTGCCCTGGCCTCAAGCACATGGCTTTTGCGAATTTCCATCGAACACCCGGAACCAGCCCCTAGGGCCCTGACCTCACCTTTCAAAACTTTCGGCCCTTGCATAACCATCCATCCATCACTCATGGCTTTGGTGGCATCCACGCCCCCCAAGGCCAAATTTGGGTTGTCGCCAAATAAGGTGAATGTTCATTCCCTCAAAACTTGTTCGAAAAGGCCGCGCGTCCCTTCGAAAGGCAAGGCTTCAAAAGCGTTGGCCGCGTAGCCAAAATTGGTCGTGGCGCCTAGTTACAGGGATCAGGTTGAGAGATGGGCTGTGGTGGGAGGGTCAGGTGTCGTGGCGCCTAGTTACAGGGATCAGGTTCAGCGAGAGGGGCTGTGGTGGGAGTGTTGGTCAGATTTTGATTGGGGCAGATGGGAGACGGCTCCTTCAGCACCAAACCATGCGAATGCCTCTTAAAATCAGGGAAGCCTGAAATGATGGCTTTCCTTTAGAGCACCCCCCTGTATTTAGGGTGCCTTCAAAAAAGCCGCCACCACGTCGACACAAAAACACAAAATCACTCAGCCGATGTGTTCGGCGATCCAGGAGAGGGAGCGGGTGGTGACGAAAGGCTTCATGGAGCGGGAGATGCGCTATGCCCAGGAGATGCGCGAGCCCTTTGGCCGGATTTTTTTTGTCTGGATGGCCTGACGAAAGCCCGTGGGTTGTTTTTGTTGTCATGTTTGTTTTTTTTTTTTTGTCAAACCATGAGGCGGATCATTGGTTGTCGCCCTTGAGGGTTTGGTACATCCCAACCTTCCGTTTGCCGATAATACGTGTTATTGTCCCTTGTTGGTTTTAACGGGAATCTATCACTACTGGAGATATGTTCTCCTTTTTTCCAGGGGCCGAAAACGGCGAGGAGTCTCCAAACTTAGTTTCGAGCGAGCTGATTTGGGATGGCAGAGTCGGAATCGAGGACGCCCGAAACAAACCCACCCATTTGGGTTTGTGCTTTCTTTCAGGGCCCCTTTTCAGACTGGCGCAGGCTTTTTGCTGACGCATGCCATGTCCAAGTGTGACAAAAATGCCCCTCCCCCCCCCCCCCCCAAGCACACCTATTTAATTTGCCAATCCGAGTTTTTAATCTATCATTTGGTGTTCAGAGGTGTGTGTGTGTGTGTGTTTGGGATGGCGTGTTTGAGGGCTTCCAACATGGGGGCCTCGGCTGTTTCGCATGGCAGCTAGGCTGGAGAACCTTTTGGCGAAGGCTAAAGCAGAGAAGGTGGGGACGGCGATTGAGCCCTTGGCAGGGTAAGGGAACGCTCCGTCCATTGAAGTGGGTGTGTTTTCTTTTGAATTCGGAGCCCCAACATGGCGTTGGTTTTCCTCTTGGTTTCCCTTTAAGAGCCAGAGAAAGTGAGGTTTCCTGAAAACCGAGGGACCCAAGTGTCTTCAAATCTCTCTCTAAACTGGTTTGAAGGGCGCCCCCGGAGCATTTTTGAGAACCCTTGGAAATGCCTTGCCACTTAAAGCGACGTGCTCCCTTGCACTTGGCCCGGAACCTACATGGAGGTCGCCTTACTCAGGGGTCCCAGTTCCCCAGGAAGGCGAGGTCCACAAGGAGGCAGATGGCCCCCACGAGTCCTTCGAGGGCAGCCAGGGGTAGACTTCGGAGACATATTTTTACATGTTACCAGTGACTCAAAGTGAAGCAAACGATAAAACATATATTCTACGCCTGGGCCAAGCTTTTACCATGCAAGTTGTAGAGGCTTCTGGTTGTAATGGCGCCGGCTTGTTATTGACCGCCGCTCCCGCGTGACATGTGGCTCGCCAATTCGTTCTCCAGGAAGAAAATTGGAGTCAATGACATAGAAGGGCACGGCAGACCAGAGCTTGCAGAAAGTGCTCGGGATAGCCAAGCTGTGAGAAATTTGTGCGGTGACAGCTTTGTAAAGAAAGCGATGATGGCGCTGACGCGCTGCGCGCAGTGGGCGAGGTCTTGCAGTTCGTGGGCGGCGACCGGGCACAGAAGAAATCGCGGAAATGGGCCGGGGTTCGCAGAAGCTCGGGGCAGAGGCTGGGGCTTCATAGAAGTTTGGTTGCATAAGCACTGGCAATTGTCTGGGTACCCTGGTCTTGCCACCAGTTTTGCCATCGAGGCTTTGCCATCGAGTCCTTCTTGCGTGTCCAGCCAAGTTTGTAAGTGGTTAGTGGGCTATTGCCTACTCATAAGTCCCACAAGTTGGCCTGCTAGTGCATAGGTTGTGCAGGTTTCTATCCACCTAACTTGGCGAATCGAACACCCAAGTTGCTCTTGGAACCTTTTTCTGGCGTCAGCCTTGGTTTCTCGCCCCTTGCAAGAGATGCCCGGCATGCGCCTCTCAAGCTTTGGGGTCCGAAGATGGGCATCAGTTTCGGTTGTCCAGCAGGGCAGTTTTTGTTCATGGTTGGGAAAGTGGGGGGGGGGGGGGGGGTCAGATCACGTTCCGTTCCAAGAGACTCGTTTGTGAAGTAGTCACAGGGATATCACCTGTGAAGAATGTCACTTGTGAAGGAGATAGTCATACTGCACACGTGGATTGACACCATCTAAGAAACCATACAAATTCATGGGTATCATCATTCCAGGGTTTCTCAGGTGGTGCAAAATGGATTTCGCAACCATCCACAGGGATGGAACCTGCACTTTAGAAAAGGAAAACAGAATAACATTTACCTAGGGGTTTATTCCCCGTTCTTGTCAACCATTGTTATTTTCAACCACCAGTTGTTTTCACTGGGTTTCTTGAGGTGATCTAGAAAAAGGCTCCCCGAAAACAATGGGGAAGTGCAAGGTACCCCCCGACACAGTGGACCTAACCAAACAATCCCCAGGCAAGTCTTCCAACATAGGGCAGGGTCTCTTTATCTGATACGCCTGCCGTTCCATACCTAGTTTTTCTTTTTTTTGTTCTGTTTTTTTTTTTTTTTGAAAAAGCAAAAAAAAAAAAACACGCACCACCACCGAGGCGCCGTGCCGAAGCCTCGGCTTCCGGCCCTTCCCGGGCCTTGGGCTCGCTCCGCCGCGTTCGGCGCCAGCGCCTTCCGGCGGCCTGGGCTTCGGCATCGGCTGGCGGGGCTTCGCAGTGAAGCCCAGCGGCGTCTGGGGCTTCCCGCCGCGGCCTGGCGCGGGGAGAGCGCCCGGCGCGGAAATCCGCTGTCCGGGCAGGGGGTGGGAACCGGGGGGGGTGGGAGGGGGAGAAATGGGGAGGGGGGTGGGGGAAGGGGGGGAGGGGAAGGGGAGGGGAAGGGGAGGGGAAGGGGAGGGGGGGGTTGGTTCTTACTGTGGGTGAGGAGTGGCAAATTCCACTTTCCCAAAGTTGATTTTGTGCCATCTACTTTTCCCGGTTGCATTTGGCGTTCGGCATCGCCTCAAGATGAATTTCCCGGGGGACGTATAACGAAGCCATGGCCTTGGCAACGGTTAGGTCGAACTTGGACTGCTGGGTTCACGTGGCCCCGCAGTCGCGAGGAAGCACAGATACCGTTTCGTTTCCTTAGGTTTTTGTTGGATGCTTTTAGATGGTTTCGTAGTGTATAACCCACCAAATGTTTTACACTTTTAGCAAGGGATCTTAGGACAGCCCAGTATTTCCCCTGTACATCCTCAGATTGAGCAAGACGATGTGTTCGTAAGGCTCAAAGATGAAGCGCTCCAAACCCGCAAAATCGTCGGGTTGTGCAGCCCATCCGGCACGGTTCATTGGATTTCCTTTCGTAGGGCTGCTTCAGCATCACCATGACAACCTTTCGGCGGAGGGGTAGAGAGTTTAATTGATACCTGTTCCTCCCTTCTGCGACGAAACTATGTCGACTTGAGCCCTTCTTGTCGAGAGAAAAGGATGCAGTGGCAATCTTCCCATTGGTAGTTGTTCTTTGTGCACAAGACATCGTCTTCGCCGCTTTTCTAGAAGGTGGCATACTGTCTGGGAAAACGTGAGCCCTAAAATGGCTAGAAAGGGGACACCCAAAGCTGCCTGATTCATGTTGGCTTATTTTTCTCCGAGCAATCAAGCGGGGCTTCGAAATTTCGGACCCAGAGGACGTGTTTGCACATGAAAGGTCTTCCTTGAAGAATTGGTGCCATCGGGTTTGGTGGAAAACGCCCACCCCACAGTGTTTGCAACATGGTTATCTACTTGAGGAACCCTCGGTCACACCATGTGAGCCACAATCAAACCCGGGTAGTTGGAGGGTAGTAAGGGACAATCCCAGGCATAAGTAGTTGCGGCCGCCGTCTTAATCATTACGTGGTTCTGGGGATCGACCATTTTATTACCGGGTTTTGATTCTGACTCATGTGGCTAACCCTCCTACTTGGCTTTCAAGCATTTTGCTTGGCTGTTAGGACTTTAACTTTTTGCCAAATGGGTTTTCCGAATTGAACCACTAAAAGTTAGACTCACTTTTAGCAGGGCCTCGGCAGATTTCGCCACCGAGTTGGGGGGAATTTTGTGAAAACACCTGAGCTGTGCTGGGCCTTCAGCTTCCTTGGCTGTTGTGCAAGCGAATCGACCGGATCTGACCCTTTGGTTTACCCATTTTGGGTAAGTTCCCATTAAAAGCCATGGCGCAGGTGATCACCCGGAATTTTTTGGGTCCTTTGGGTTGCATTTAGGGGACTTGCAAGAAGTTGGCTGAGGAGAAAGATGACCACGCGCTATAGCGGCATGCATCTCCACCCCGGCCGGGAGCGAGGGTATCCGAACCCCGTCAAGCGCTCGGGCAAGGTCAGGAAGCTGCCTAACGTGCGGCTGAAGCTCGGCGCGTGATTGAGGGTTGCTGCGCGATGGTTCCCCGCCCTTGATCTTGGCCAGTGACTAGCCGGTAAAACACGTACACTTTTTGGATCAGCACCAAGCCTAAAGTGGAAGCCACTAAAAAAACAGTGAACAAGAAAGTGTGCCCACTGGCTGGGTAAGGACTGCGATAGTTGGTTCCTCAAAAAGGGTCGCTCACTATTAACATAATATTGCAGAATGGCCAACAGAGTCGCGCGACGAACTTTTGGGAGCAACCGCCAGGCGGCTTGTCTCTAATGGGGGCGGACCCCCCCAAACTGAGCAGTTTCCCTTTGGCGTTCCCTTTCACCAACCCCAAGACGAGTACCCTCAACAAGTCTGCAAATGCAACAGTCACACATAGATGCACACAAAAAGACCGCACTGAAAGAGATCTTTGCAGACGTGGCCCTTCAAGGCAGAGGCTTGGGAAGAAAAGTGGCGCAGGGCCAAAACAGAAAACCAAACTGCCAACTTGAATCAGTTTGATTCGCCAAGTTAAGTGGAAAACGCCACCTGGGTATAGCCCGCTTTTCGTGGGTTTAACCCAGTTATTTGTGGGTTATAACCCAGGTGGTGTTTTCCACTTTCTAACTTGGCGAATCGAACGCCGAAGTGCCAAAAAATCAGCTTTAAGCGGGTGATCTGAGCACAGCCCAGTAAATCATGTCAACCAAAGGGTCCAACCAATGAAAAGCCATACCCAGATGAGTGCCAAGGAGTTCCAAAGATCGTCCCTGATCACAAGAGGTCCCTGATTCCTTGTTTGCCCATGAGGAGCTTGCAAAAAGGCAGAAGGCGAGGGGGGCAACATGATGACTTCGGTGTCCAGGCCACTTCGCGTATGAGCCGCAGCATTTTGCTCGAAGTGTTCCTTACCTGGGCCTTGGTCTGCCACTACCAGACTACCTGCATGGAAGGCCTCGAAAATAGCGTAGGGCCAGCATTTCTGGGACGTGCATGGATGGAAGGCTTCGACGAAAATTGCGTGCCGTCTCCGGGACGCTCGTCTTCCAGCATTTGTGCTTCGGGCAGTGACCAAGTTCCTTCCCCAGAATTAGCTCCCCTTTTTGCTTTTTCCCTTTTTTGGGGTTCCCTTTGTTTTCCACTCACCAGGCAAAAAAGGTCAATTAACATATTTTTTGGCTGGTCTCCCTTTTTTTCCAGCCAAGGTTCATGTTGTGGCAGACTTTCTGGCCACGATGAGGGTGTCCAGGCCCGAGGTGCTGCGGGCCACCGCCGCCTACCATGCCTTTGAGTCCTGCGCTGCGGCTCTCCGAGGCAGCGATGGGAGGAGCTTCTTCGCCAAGAGCCGAGCGGTGCTCACGATCCAGGACGCCCCAAAAAGTGGAATCAAGCATGGAGCCCCAAAATCGGGACACCCCGAGTGAGATTCTTCTTAAATGCCAGTCTCTTTTTTTTTGAGCTGGACGCTAACCACTCGGGGTTTATCCAACCACTTGTGTGATACTATTGGGAATCTCCCCCTTATGGGGTGCGTGGGGTGTTAGTCTTTGGGGTTAGACCCTTTGCGTTGTATCACAGAAGTGGATTCCATTTCCCACAACCCTGATCCAGGAATTCTGGAGCCATTCTTGGCACTCACATGCCTGGGCGAAATGCTTGACGCTCTTGGTGCTGAAGAATGGCTTAGCTGCGGTTTGTGTGGGCAACGCGTGCGCCGTGATTGGCATGCTGCTTTTTCATCTTCACATCTTGCCAGGTTTTCGGGTTTTTTCGGAAGAAGATCATATTGAGATTTTTTGTGTTTGGTCTTCAGTGTTTGGCGCAGCTGGCACAGTTTTGACCATGGCATGCTGGCGGTGTACAACGGCAGTCTTCCTGGACAGGATTTGTATCAGTGAAATGCAAGATATGAAGACAGAGGCCATTTGCAGCCTTGCCGGGATTCTTGATAAATCAGAATCCATGCTGGTGCTTTGGGATGCTTCCTTTGCCGAAAGGCTGTGGTGTGTGTTCGAGATCGCGGCGTTCCTTAAGAGCAAGGAGAAGCGAGACAGGACTCTTCTCATTTGCCCGACCCTGACAGGGCCAGTCTCGTTTGCTGCTTATGCAATGGCCACCTTTGAATTTATTCCAATGCTTGTCCTTCCAATTCGTTACCCTTCCCAGACGACCTTGCCCTCTGCATGGCGCACTGCATTCTACGGAACGACGGTTTTTGCTGGTGCTTATACAATGTGCCACGTCATGCGTGGCTTTTATCGTTCTATAGAAGTCATGCAAAGGCAGCTGCTGTCCTTACAAATAGAACAGCTAAAATGCAGTTGCTGCAGCACGGGCCGATGTCGGAATCGATCCACAGTCTGCGACAAGGTGATCATTTCCGAATGCATTGCGATATGGTTCGGCAGCACAGAGGACTTTGTAGAGTACATTCGTACCACAGTCGTGGACGTAATTACAGCGCAGCTCGAGCATAATGCGTTCAGCTTTGCTTGGGGTGTTGCTATCGTATGTCCAGCACTGTGGGCCATATTCGATCTTATGCAGTACACCTTCCGAGTACCTCATCCGAATTGGTACCTAATGACTGCATACCTCTATCTTGCGCTTACTATGATTTTGATCGCTCCTGTATTTGTCTCGTGGATGAAATACTTGGCCTACCACCTTCGTCATGAATCTAGGTCCAGATGCGGCGAGGTCTTGACCAACTCGCTCATGATTCTGTGCTCGATGCCAGTGACTGTTTTTGGCATGGGCGCGTATACTGCTGGCAATGTCTTCTTCGTTCTCCGCAATGATACGGCCTCTGTAATTGCGATTGTGGCCTTCCTTGTGCTTGGCTGGGCTTTTATGTGGTTCTTGTATAGGCGTGGGAATGGCGGCTACCTAAGCCACTCTATTTGGAAGCAACGGCTTGTGCAGGAAGGGCTTGCCCAAGGCAACTCCCAAGGCAGAACCTAGCACAGCCGTTGAGATGGTTTTTGCAAAAGGGAATTCTGGGAAACTGGCGTGTGCGGGAGTTTAAGAAATCACCTGTTGTTTGGAATGTGGCAGCTTGAGTCGCCGTGCTTGGCTTTTGGGGCACGGCTCTTTCGGCAGACGTCGCATTGTCACAAGCAAAACGCAAGGGCGATGGCTAGTTTAAGCGCACTTGCAACCCAAGCGAATCGACCGCATCTGACCTTTTGGTTTCCCTGATTTGGCCCAAAAAGGATCATGGTTTCCCTGGTTTCCCTGGTTTCCATTTTTCGTCATGGCCTAAAAAAACGGATCACCTTTGATGTGTGGGTCATTTGGGCGGCTGAGGGCCGGCGAAACGTGAAGCATCTTGGGGGTTCACCAGCTTTGGGCAAGGAAGCTGACCGGGGCCTGCCCGATGTTTTCCGTGTGGCAAGCGCCCAATTGTTTTATTGGAGTGGCAGGCTTCCAGCGATATGATTTGCCGGTGACAACACCTGATCTACAATGGCTCTGTCTTTCCTGTGCAGTTCCTTTAGTGGAGTCATTTTAAGAGGAAGCCAAAAGGAAGCCGTTGCCATCGTTGAGGTCCCCTATTTTAATACACACCCAGGCGATACTTCTAGCGGCCGGACTTGGAGTTCTTGTGTTTTTGATGGTGGTAGACTGCAAATATTGTACTTTTAGTAATGAGCATCTTCAAGACTGCTGACTGCCAGCTTGATCTACTTCTTTTACAGGAGACGCGGTTGCGCGAAGATTTGCAATTATGATTGTCCGCCGCGCATTCACGGTGTATGTCCAGAGTTCTTGGGGAGCGTGCTTTGTATGCCGTCGATTTTTCCAAAAGGACCCCTAGGGAGACCACTTTTTTCTGGCTGACTTTGAGGGACCTGCGCATCTGCGCGGGGATCTGCGCGGTTTCGAGCAGTTTCCAAAGGCCTGCCCGAGAAGACTGCTCGCATGCACCCAAAGGTGTGAGCCTAGGGCGGCCATCTATTTCCAGGTGTTTTTTTTCTCAGCATGGGCCCCAAAAATTTGATTACATGGGTGTGGCTCAAAATTAAACAGGGGGGGTTACGCAGGTTTTGGTACCCAGGTTTCCACTTACCAGGGCGGTTTTTTGAGCCACAGCCATTGGTCACTTTCCCCATGGTGAAAGTATCCTACTTGTTGGTTGTTTCCCCAATGGTCACTTCCTTGGCTTTGCTTTCTTGAGCCTCCGTGTGACATGGTCAGCTGTGTTTGACGGGCTGGGGGGGGGGAATGGCAAGATCAAAAAGCTGTCATCTGTATGTGACCGTTCGAACCCCCAGGTCGTTTCGGCCTCGTCTTTTCGTTGAGGAAGCGATATGACTACTCCGTCACCGCCTCCAAGGACGGCCAGTTCTACTTGCAGCCGCCCTACCCGCCCCGCATCAACCGCACGGTCCAGGTCAGGGGGGGTGGGGGGGGGGGGCAAAATATGAGGGTTTCTCAGAATGGTGGACCCATTTTTGGCATGTAATGGGACACCACAGGATTTTTTTTCGGGATCACTAAACTGTAAGAACTTCTCATATGGGTCTTCTCCTGTGAAAGTCATGGTGGGTGCCCCTTTTTTCAACCACAGGGTACTTGGGTGTTCGATTCGCCAAGTTAGTAAGTGGAAAACTTCACCTGGGTTATAACTTCTAACCCACTTATAATGTGGTTAGCTCAGAATGGGGTTGACTCAGATTGGGTTTAACTCATAATGGGGTGAACTCAGTCATTTGTGGGTTATAACCCGGGTGGCGTTTGTTTTTCCACTCACTAACTTGGCGAATCGAACACCCAAATACCCTCAAGAAACACACACATGGCTGTGGCTCAGAAATCCGGAATTCCAACATCAACCCTGGTCAGTTGGAAACATGGGCTGCAGCAACCTGCGGTTTGCCCCTCCAGATCGTGTGTTTTTTTTTGGAGCCACGCCCACCATGTTTTGAAGCAGCTCAGGCCCTGGCGCGGTTTCGAAGCCGGGCCAAGACTCGACTCGCGATAGGTAGGTGACCCTAAGGACCCGAAGGACGGGAGAGGAAGCCCTAGGAAGTGGGATGGCGTTTTTTTGGGTGCCAACTGATTTGACCAACAACGGGTGGGGAGTGAAACCGTTGGATTCCCAAGGAAGCCTAGGCTTTCCGGCTAGGTGCCCTTTCTCACCTCTTTTTTGGGGGAGGGTTCCCCTACGAAAATAGACTACAGAGAGAAGTTGGTACCAACTTATTCCAGGCTCTCTAGCGCGGGGGGGGGACTACAGAAACAAGTTGGGACCCTTATTCTAACCTCTCTACTGGACGGATTTGGTTTTTTCTTCTCAAAGTCACTCCAGCTCTCCCCTCTAGGTGAGGCCTCCGTGGGGTGCCAAGAAGAACCCCTGGCCTACCACGGTGCACAAGGACTACAAGCTGAAGTGGCGCCTCGGGTTTTCCGAAAATGTCCGGCGGGCAAGGTTCACAACCTCCTAAGTCGTTGCCGTGGGCTTTTGGAACCCCCTTGTATTTTTTTCTAGACGGATTGGATTTTTCGATCTGTGGGTCCCCTTTTAGATATGAAGCGGGTACTAAAAGATCACTGGAAAGGTAACAGGGGAGACCGGGTGAAATCCACGGAAAGCGCATCCAAAGTGTTTTCTAGAGTGCGGGAGTATTGCCTTGTAGGGCTCCTCAGTGAGGTTCCCGGTTGGACAGAAGGGTTGGTGTTTCCTTCGGTGAGATCCTCCCCACGTAGCAAACAGAAAGGGACTTGTGCCATCTATATTTACTTACCTTCACTGTTCTTGGCATGTTGTTGTTTGCTCTTCTTCTTTTTTTTTTTGGGGGGGGTCTGTTCCTTTTTGCTGGGGGCTGCAAAAAGCAACGTTTTTGTTTTTGGGGGCTACCATACCAAGACTAGAGATGTTACACCCTGGTGTGATGTTCTTTGTTGCCCAGTGGTGCCCTTTTCTCCCCCTTTTTGCTGGGGAAGGATTTCGATTCCTTTAAACTCAGCCAACAAAAAGAAGGGTGCTTTCCTTTTTTTCCCATGGGCACTGGGCATCTGAGTATTCCTGAAGGGACACAAGACGAAACATCGTTCTTTGTTGCTTTCAAGATTCTGAAGCATACCTTCACTGTTCTTAGCGTGTTTCTTAGTTTTTTAGTTTTTTGGTTCTGTTCAATTTTACTGGGGGTCTGCAAAAAGCAAAGTTTTTTGCTACCAGACAGTAGAGATGTTATTGTTTTCAAGATTCCCAAGCATAAACTAGGTCCCCCAGTAGTGCCCTTTCTCACCCCTTTCTCACCCCTTTCCCCCCCAGGTCTGAAATAAAACCACCCACCTCTTTGTTAGCGACACCTTCTTTGTCTAGGTCCCCCAGTAGTGCCCTTTTACATTTTTTTTTTTGGGGGGGGGGAGGGTTCCCCTACTAAAATAGACTACCGAAAAAAGTTGATACCAACTTATTCTAACCTCTCTACTGGAGGACCTAGTAAACCACCCCAACAAGGCGATCGATTTTTCCGCGAGCAATAAAGGTCCCAGCTCCTTGGCATGGCATTGGATGATCCTTTGGGCACTCAATGTGTAATTGGTTCATGTGGGGGGGGGGGGTTCTGGTAATTTAACAGGGCTCCTTAAAAGATTTTCAGTTTGCAACTCTTTGAGTTACATGTTTTTCTAATCAACACCAAAATAAAGGGGCGCACCACCATTTACAAGGCAATGTTCAGGCGTATCATGTAATTAAGGATCCCTGTTTAAGACTACCTTGCGACAAGCAGAAGAGAGACGATGGACTCCTGCCGGAGGTCTGCCAAACTTGGCCCAGAAGCAAAACATGGAATTGGGGAGGGGGGTGACCCCTCAAATTCCATTTTCCCCTTCATGGGGAGGACTAAGTAAATGGAATTGGGACCCCCCACCCCCCTCCTCCTGAAGGTAGGGGGGATCCCACTCGCAAATATGTTCTGGGGTGTTTTACGGCAAGTTCTCCCTGGAGTGTTTTACGACACCTTGTCGCCAATACAAGAGTTCAGTTGGTTTTCAAGCAAATCCACAGGGAACACAGTTTGGGGGATCCCCCAAAGCTTTCATTCTCTTAAGAATATGTTGTATTTTTCCTTCGTGGGAACCAATCTACTGGACATTTTTCCAGGGGGCGAAACGCACATGGAGGGGACAAAGACGAACCCATACCGTCAATTGGTGCCCTTGCTGGTTGAATTGGATAAGAAAATGATGGGCCTGCTTTGATTGTTGGAATCATCCACACGTTTGTCTTCCAAAAGGTCACCTATGCCCATTTAGAAATAGATGTGCTTCCACTGGTGTCAATGAGTTATATGCCCCATGTACCCGGGAACAGTTCCTATTCTCCAAGGTCAATGCCCTGGTTCTCCTCTTGGTTTAATCATCTACCCGGGAAACCGATCCTTAGGACCTATGCTCATTTGCTGTGAAGTATCCAATGGAAGTGGAGAAGGGGCCTTTTCAATGGCTGGTCGAGTATTTCTGGTCCATTTGTGGGGGTAGACTGAAGGCCTCACCCGAGAAAAAACAGGAAAGCCCATCCATTTTTGTTCCAAAAGGTCAATGCCCATGTGTCCTTCCTCCCCAACAACCTCCCCCGAAAACTCGCCGGTGCTCAGTAAGGAATGAGGGACTGACCCCCCTAAACCATTCCCTATGGTTTCCTTTAAGGGGACCAACGCCTGGGTTCATTCAACCACATTCCCTACTTATCGCACCAGCCAGAAACATCGGGAACCTCCCCCAACCCCCCCCCCCCCCGCCCCCAGTTCTTAAGTGACGCATCAGGGGGGTTCAACCCTGGAAGACGGACTAGGTCCCCCAGAAAGGGGGGAAAGCTCATGGATTTGTTTTTCCCAGACGGGGTTCCCTACTCAAACTCCCCGAAAACTAGGAACGCCCCATTGCTTTTTTCTCGAGAAGGTCAACGAGGTCAATGCACATATACCCTTCCTTTTTGGAGGAACCTCCCTCAAACCCACCCCCCTCCCAGCTTTGTTTTCCAAGTTTCCAAGGCAGGATTTGCAGTAAGACTCCCCAAGCTCCAAGGAAACCCTGGCCATTGAGGGTCCCCTATTTTAATACCCAGGTGATCCTTCTGGCGACCCCTTCTTTATCTAGGTCTTTCAGCAGTGCCCTTGTCCCACCTTTTTGGGGCAGGGTTCCCCTACTAAAATAGACCACAGAACCAACTGCTCTACAGGACCTAGGGTTCCCTTCCCCTACTAAAATAGACTACAGAACTAACCGCTCTACTGGAGGACCTAGTCCTGCAAGACGGGGTTCCCGAGCAAAACTCCCCAAGGAGGAACATCGAGTACGTCTTCGTGCCGGAGCTCACCCGGAAGCCCCACGGCAGCCCTTCCCGGCGCTGGGCGGGCCCTGTGAAGCGCATCGAGCTCCTCAAGGGCCGCAAGCCGAAGGTCACCTGGGAGACCCATGCGCCTGGCTGCATCTGGTGGGGGGGTGGGGGTGGGGTGGGGGTGGGGAAAAAATACATAAAATGGCACTTCTAACATCAAACCCAAATAATCAAACAGCATACAACAAAATCAGCAAAATTCACAGAAAACAAGATAAGAACCACCAAGCAACTCAAAAACCAGAACAACCCCCAACAAAATATTTAATCAAAGCATAAAACATTAAATAATTCAAACAAGCATACCAACAAAACAGCAAAAATAAAAACCATCAAAGAACACAAACTCAAAAACACACATCAACAAAAACAAAGCAACATACCAACAAAAAATATCAGAAGAGTATCAAACAAAATAAAAACAAAGCAACCAAAGCACGAAAAAATCAAAAGAGCATACCAAGTTCAAACAACGCACTTTGAAAGAGTCAAGCAAATCAAGGAAAAATAAAATATTTCAATCTTTACAAACCATAAGTACAGTATAATTATAACATATAAGATTTTACATGTTATTATTATAGTATGATTATAATTTCAGTACAGGATAATAATTTAATTGACAAATATTTCTTCTTTCATACATCATTTTAAACATAATATTAATATCTCTCAATGTATTTTGAATATTAAACTTTTTACTTTCAATAAATAATTTGATATTTTCTTTAACATCTTCTCCTTTATCTTGACTATAACACAACAACCATAATATATCATCCATCATTTCATATTTTTTCTTACTGATTTTAAGAAACTGTTTAACATAATCATAAGGTGGTATTTTATTTACAGTTAGAAATATTAAAATCTCATCTTCTACATTTCTATGTCGAATTCTTTTTATTCCCAACAGACATCTGATTAATTCTTGATAATATCTCCAATTTCTACAAATTTTACATAAATCTTCTTCATCCATTGAATAATTAATAATATTATTCACTATTTCATTAGGTAAATTTAATTTATACAATTCCATATTTTCTTTTTTGAAGTGACAACAATCATAGCATTTTTTATTGATATAATTATTGATTTTATCACCGTTCATTTTCCTCTTATTATATTAAGGTTTTAAATCTTTAAGTATATTTTTCTAAAAAGCCACTTAAAGAAATAAACACATTAAATTTATATAGTATAGTATTATGAAACATGTTATAGATTATCTGTTGAATAATGATAAAGCAGAAATTCCAAAAAGAGGAAACAAGGAATTAAAATCAATAATTATAGATGGTAGAACATTTAGATACAACAAAGAACAACCCATCTCAAATGTTTTGAACAAGAAATTAAAATCAGAAGCAAGAACTAATGAGTATAATAGTTATGCAACAAAAACATTGCGCTCAACATACCTAAAACAAAGAATGAAAAATGCAATGACAAAATATGCAATCAAAAATAAATTCCAAGTAACAGACCAACAATCAGCTTTCAAAAGTTATGCTAATTCTATAAAACTAGTAAATAAACATTTTCAAGGTGAAAAGGCACTATCAATGATACACCACCAAAAAGATAGACTTTTGACCTTTTTGAAAACTAATAGAGCAATGAAACTGAATATAAGGGCAGAAGGTTTATTTTATCATTATTATGATGATGATGGAGTAATAAAACATACAGAGATACTTTATAATTTACCTGCTACAAGGTCAAACATTTATAATGAAACCGATTTGGATGAAGCAATTGAAAAATCAATCAAAGATATTTTATTGAACATAGAAAAGTTAGAAGGTTCAGCATCTAATTTAAAATTTATAAAGATATTATCAATAACAATCCATTATGACAAATATGACCCAACTAGGGCGGGTAGTTATATAGATTTACCAGAATGGATTAAACTAAAAAAGGCATGTATTAATATCAAAAACAAAGATACCAAATGTTTTAAATATAGTGTTCAAAGTGTAGTGTTTGATATAATTAATAAATCAAATTCCCAAGAAATGTTCCATTACAACAAATTAAACGACAATATCTTAAACTGGGAAGGTGTTAAATTTCCAACTGGTAATAAAGATATTGAAAGGTTTGAAGAAAATAATAGTAAGTTAGTTTCAATCAATGTTTATGAAATTGATGATACTTTGAATGAAAAGAAAATTATAATTGATTACAGAACTAAAACAAGAGATGCTAAACATCAAATAAACCTTTTGAAAATTGAAATCAATAATAATAATCATTATGTAGTTATTAAAAGTCTAAGTCGTTTAATGAACTGGCAAACAAACAAAAATGACCAACCAAAACATTATTGTCATTATTGTTCTCATGCCTTTACTAGAAAGGATTTATTAACAAAACATTATGAAACTGGTTGTATGGCAACACATGGACAACAGTTTAAATTACCAAAAGAAGGTAGTTATATTGAATTTGAAAAATACAATACAAAATTAAAATGTCCATTTGTTGTTTATGGAGATTTTGAGTGTATAACTGTAAATTCAAATAATGGCATCAAGGGCACGTATCAGGAACATAAACCATGCGGTTATATGTTGAATGTTGTAAATTCTATTGATAATACAAGTCAACCTTTTTTATACCGTGGAGAGGATTGTTTAGACCACTTTGTAAATAAATTAAGAGAAATTAAAAAATATATTTTTGATAAAATGAATGTTAATAAACCAATGGATATTACAGATGAACAAGAAGCAGAATTTAGAAAAGCTACTGTATGTTCAATATGTAATAAGAATTTTAAGCCAGATGATGTCAAGGTTCGTGACCACTGTCATTTTACTGGTGAGTATAGAGGTTGTGCTCACGAAAAATGTAATTTGGATTATTCATTTAGATATTTCAAGATACCAGTATTTTTTCATAATTTAAAAAACTATGACTCTCACTTAATAATAGGCAAAGCAAATGAAATAAATAAGGAATTGAACGAAAATAAGAGAATAGATGTAATAGCACAAAATAGCGAAAAGTTTATTACATTTTCATTTGGTTCATTACAGTTTAAAGATAGCATGGCTTTTCTCTCAGCATCTTTGGATAAATTAGTTAAGTTAAATAAATATGACATAGTAGGTAAAGATGAACATGATAAACCTATATATAAAAAGCGGAATGACTGGAAGGATAATTTCCGATTTTCATCAGCAAATCCATATATTAGAAATAAAACCGATTTAGACTTATTAACTGAAAAAGGAGTTTATCCTTACGACTACATGAATTCATTTGATAAATTCAATGAATCGCAATTACCGAATATAGAAGACTTTTACAGTAAATTATATGAAGAAGGTATAACAGATACACAACACACAAGGGCAAAAGTAATATGGGATAATTTCAATATCAAAAACCTAGGTGAATACCATGATTTATATTTGATGACAGATGTTTATTTGCTTAGTGATGTGTTTGAAAACTTTAGGGATATGTGTTTAAATTTTTATGGATTAGACCCTGCACATTACATAACATTACCTAATTATTCTTGGTCTGCCTTTTTATCTCTGACTGGTGTTAGACTTCAACAAATACATAATAAAGATATGTATGAAATGATTGAAAAAGGTCTTCGTGGCGGGATGACTCAATGTGCTCATAAAAAAGTAGAAGCAAATAATAAATACATGAATGAACAATATGACTTGTCAAAACCATCAAGTTATATAAGTTATTTAGATGCTAATAACTTGTATGGTCTGGCTATGAGTAAAAAACTACCGTTTGATAATTTCAATTGGTATTTTTCAAGGATGGATGAGAAGAAAGTATTAAGTTATAGCGATGATGATGACAAAGGCTATATTTTAGAAGTTGATTTAGAATATCCAAAAGAATTACATGATTTACATAGAGATTATCCATTAGCACCAGAAATTATGAGTGTTAGTGAGAATATGCTTTCACCAGTTCAAAAAGAAATACATAAACAATATTATGGAAAAGATGCATCTGATGAAAAAACAAATAAACTAATATTAAATGTTATGGATAAGAAAAAGTATGTATTACATATATCAGCATTGAAGTTTTATTTAGAGCATGGATTAAAACTAAAGAAAGTCCATAGGGTAATTAGTTTTAATCAAGCAGATTTCTTAAAACCATACATTGATTTCAATACCGAAAAACGAAAGAATGCTAAAACTGAATTTGAAAAAGATTTATTCAAATTATTAAATAACGCTGTATATGGAAAAACACTCGAAAACGTTCGTAATCACAATGACTTCAGACTAATCAATACACCTGAACGCTTCCAGAAATTAGTAAATAAACCATCATACAAACATAGACACATTATAAATGAAGATTTAGTGGTGGTAGAACTTGAAAAGGCAATGGTAGAATTAGATAAACCTATTTATATGGGTCTATCAATTTTAGATTATTCTAAAATTCATATGTATTCTTTTTATTATGATGTATTAAAACCTAAATATAACGATAAAATAAAATTAGCATATACTGACACTGATAGTTTTATTATCCATGTTGAAACTGATGATATTTACACAGATTTTAAGCTTATAAATCAACATATGGATTTTTCAGATTATCCTAAAAATCATGAATGGTATAATGCTTCTAATAAAAAAGTTCTTGGGAAAATGAAGGATGAACTTAATGGAAAAATAATGACTCACTTCATAGGATTGAAACCTAAATCATACTGTTATAAAGTGTATGGAGAAGATGAAGAACATAAGAGGAGCAAAGGCATTGTTAAACATAAAGTTGCTAATGAATTAAATTATAATAAATACGAAGAAACATTAAATGGTGATTTGAAGGATAAAGTTGAATTTAACACTATACGCTCAAAAAACCATCAAATATATAGCATTAATCAAGTTAAGTTTTCTTTGTCCAATTTTTGCAATAAAAGATATTTCTATAACGCTATTGAAAGTTTGCCGTATGGACATTATTTAATTAACCAATAAAATCTCGTGCCGATTATATTTTTTACTTAATCCATCTAATTTATAATACTTATTGTTAAGTAAATCCTTACCAACAAGTATTACCTTGTATTTTCTCTCACTCCAGACACTTCGGCTCTCTTTACGACTGGTGTAGTTGCCTTTACCTTTGCTATAA